ATTGTGACACACGGGAGTGTGGTGTAGTAGCAGGCTTGTTGTGCAATTTTTCAAAAGGTTATGTCTTTATATGTCAGTAAAAGCGAAGAAATTAATAGATTTATGTGCAGGGTCAGTAATAAGATAAGCAGTTCCATGTTATTTCCTCATTAAATCGTGAAACAGGGAGTTATTGGAGACTTCGCCAGCACGTGTCGTTTTCGCTATTTTCCACATGAGTCTTTACTTGGCCTAAATCAAACAAATTGTCCGATCAAAGAACAAAACGAACGTAAGTACTATCTATAAGTCTAATGAAAAAGTTACACGGAATTGCTAACGTCATTGCCGCTCAATATGCCATTCAAGACGCTCTATGAAAAGGACCCAACCAGTGCTGCGTAGTCGATGAAATTTCAGTGACTTTGTTTCCAACTCCGATTCCGGTATCCAAATATCGACTCCGACTCCTTCGGGCAGAACTGTCGATTCACACAGACTCCGACTCTGCAGCCCTCGTAAGTCTGTGGAGTCGATGACTTTTCGGTGACGTTCGACTCATACTCCGACTACAACTTTCAAAAATCAACCGATTCCGAGTCGGAACAGAACCGCTTTCTCTGACTACAACTCCGCAGTCCTGGCCCAAGATAGCCGCCTAAAACAACTTTGATGTGTGATCTTCTTCGTACATTGTTAATGTTATTTTAAACAAGGAGTGGAAAAGGGAGACGAAGCCTTCACAAACAAGGATCTCCTGTTGCGGATCAATCAGCTGCTGGAACAGAAAGGCATTAACACCACGCATCTCATTTCATCGTTTTCCTAACGACTCCAATGTAAGCACTGATCAATGCAGTGCGAGCATCGATGTGACATTTGTGTACCAAGTTTGAGTGTTATCCGCCCAGCCCTTCTTGAGATATGGAAGCGGCACCCCGCACGTGCGCACGTGCAGTAGCACCCCCATAGTGACACATGGAAATGCATTGGCCACTGGGTGCCTAACTATTGACGAAATTTTACCGTAATGGGCCCAGCCATTGCGGAGTTACTTCATGTGGAACAATTTCGACACCCCTAAGTTGGCACGTGACACGTGCCGTAACATTAACTAAGATGAAGAAAATCGGGCGAAATTCGGAGAAGAAGGAATAAGCCTACCAAATATGTATGACATATTGTCAAACTGCTCTACCATTGTGAGTAAATGGCCATATAAAAGCTCGTACAAGCCAATGGGACTGGGCGTTTCAATACACACCGTCTTACGCATTTTATTTTCGTTATTACCTAAAGGCTGCTTGACGTTTTGGGCTTTCAAGCATTTGAGACATTTTTTGTCGTCTCAGGTCCAGTTAGATTACCTCCAACTCGTGGGAATATGCACTTCGAGCCAACTAACACACCACACCCACGTGTGTCATAATGCTGAGAGATGGCGCTCACTCGGCTTGCTCCTAACTTACGATAATTCTCTCGCTAGATGGCAGGCCTGATCCCAATGTCGCGGATCCCAATGTTAATTTCCACGAGACACCAATCCAGTGTTATATCATCCATGCTATTACGATGCAACTTAGCATGGAGATAAAAGGGACTTTTTTACGGAGCGAGCGAAGCGAGCGGAGTCTTTCCTTAGATTAACGGAAATTTCTGAGTATGAGCGGCTGGCCGGCCGTGCGGACGCTTTTGCGAGGCTTATATCTCAGCAACCACTTGACCGATTTACATGCGGTAATTTTTGTAGGGTAGCTTCATTCCTTCTACCAAGTATTGGACTATTCCTGATGCATATGGGTGACCCCTTATGCACGTGCCACGTGCAAAACGAAGAGGTGTCAGTTTTGTAATTGTTGCAATATCTCGGTAACTACTCGGCCGATTGCGCTGAAAGTTGGCATGTAGGTAGGCACCCACTAGGCACTGCATATCCATGTGCCAGAGTTGGGGTGCTGCTGCACGTGCGCACGTGCAGGGGTCGTTTCCAGATCTCGAGAACGGCTCAACCGATTGCGCTCAAATTTGGTACACAGTTAGGGACCGGTTAGTAGGGTGCCGTGCACAAGTCAGTTGGGACCCATTTTGTTCGTGCGCACGTGCAGGGTGCCGCTTCCAGATCTCGAGAACGGCTGGGCCGATTGTGCCCAAATTTGGCACATCGCTAGAGACCGGTTAGTAGGGTGCCGTGCACAAGTCAGTTGGAGGTACCCCCTCGCAATTTCGCACGTGCAAGGCCCACCCTCTCGCTCGCTCCGTTAGTCGCCCCAAAAGGCGTTATACTGGTAGTGGTTATCATACCGAGCATAAAATTTCACGGGTGTAATGAAAACAGTCGCGTTGGAGGTTGTTTTAAATAAGGACCACCGAAAGCCCATTGGCAGGCTTTCCCAAAATAGTACGTCAATGGGAGAGTCTGGCACGTACAAATACCTAATGAAAGCTTAAGATGTCGAAATTAGTTACCGTATGGTGGGACGAAAGTTCTAGTGGGTGTGGGAGTCAGAAAATCTGAAGTGGTGCAAATGTGAAGATATTGACCTAAGGAAAGGTCGGGGCCCCGAAAATGCACGTGGAGGGGCTTTTTGGCACCTCACGGCACAATGCTGTTGATCAGTAAGGTATTGTGTGCCTAAGCGAAGAACATATATCACACCTGAGGCTAGGCTGAGTTACAAACGGCGTAAATGATTTCTCGAAGCGACTGGGAACAACATAAGGCAAGAGAAGTAAATATACAATGGCCAAGAAAGAGCCAAAAATTGCAGAAAAATATTGATCTATTTAAGGAAGAAAAATCATGTTTTTGTCAAGGGGCGACAATTAACTAGACAATACAGTGTTCTGTAGTGATGTTATCAATGGTGCAAGAGCTAACGTCCATTTAGCATCCAAGCTAACGCTGGATGCCGTGGTACATGTCTTATTTCAGAGCATATCATCAGTTCGACTTTATTCCTCCAGGCCGGTCCTTTAAAATACGATACTTTCTGAGCCAAAACTATTACTTAGCACTAGAGGTTCCTGGTTCATGCAGAACAACATATGTAACCAGAAGGTGATCTTCTGGTCCGACCTCGCGCCAGCACACTTATCAAGGGGCGCCTTGGGGGCTCCGATCGATGTAAAAATTGCATGATTGGAGCATGGCCCGATAAGCCATTTGCCACGACTGAAATTTAACAAATGAGTATCTAATGTGATTTGCCGAAGGCTATAACGTATGTTGGTGTCTTTAAATTTGATACAAAATATCAACTGGCTGCTCGCTACCACCATGAATTGGCCAAATTCCCGGTCCACTGGTGCCAGAGCTTGTGAAAACACTTCCAAGAAAATGTCCAAAAAATGACCTACGGGAATCAGGCAAATCTGTTGACGCTCTACAGGGTTGGGCAGATAAATTGGGACAAAATACGTATTTGCATTTAAAACGCCGTAGCTTAGAAATTTGTAAACATAGGCATTTCAAATTTGGATCACATATTGTCACACCAATTTTACACATTTATCACTAAATATGGTCACCGTGGTCCACCTGCATCAGTCCTTGTCGGTGCCTGGACTGACTGCACGCGCGGCGAGATCTCCCGTCTGAAATGGCTCGTAATTGTAGCCGACTGGCACTGCTGAGGCTCGTCACAGTCACATGGGGACGTTCGTTAGACTCACCCGCAAAAACGCCCCAGCAACCAGAACTTGTGTGGGCTGAGGTTTAATGAGGAAGGGGGCATTTTCCCTTGGGTACAGTTTGCGGGATCCTCCGTTTCAGGAGATTTTGTATTTAATTTACTGTATGCCGGGGAGCTGACTCCTCGAAGAGCATCACCCCATGCAGGATGTTGCCTTCTTCCATCTTGTTGGTTCGAACTGCCGGAATAATGGTTAGGTACCCTTTAATGGCGAACCCCCTCCCGATTCCGTAAAATAAGGGGGCCCCACGTGACCGTCAGAAGTCACCGAGTGGAATGCCATCACCGATGTCTGCTGCATGTTTTTTTGGAACTAATATCACGTCTTCTGGGCTGGTTGCGATGTTACATGGTGTTTGCAGTTGTTCATATGCTCGGTTATGGGGGACACCATCGTCAGAAATGACCTGCACGTGCTTGCTCGCTTCTCCAAGCCCTTCAAGAGGAAACAATTTTTTTAACGTCACAGCTGCTTCAACATCTATGTTGACAGGTTGATATGCATCAATGCATAAGAGTACATGTTTGAGGTGCTGGTATATCGCTTTCTCATGGCGCGGCTACCTTCGTTGTAAGCTCGCGCCACTGTTTTCGAGAGGATCCTCTGATTTAACTGAATTTTGCCTTTTAGCCCCCCTGGAAAACCGGGGGAGCGGCCGGTGTCAATGCAATAAGTATGTAAGGATGAGTCAACATCTTCTCTTCCTCCAACGTTTATGTCTGTTCGATACACACTACTTTCAGCCATTTGATGGAGCATAATTAGAATATTGGCATGCATGTGGGCGCGGACTAAGTTGGTAGTGGCTTGCTTAAGGCCACGTTCTGTGACCAGCCGACTCAAAATTACAACGCAACCTGCATAACATGGAAAAATATTCATTAGCCTATATTTATGTTCAAAAATTATCTTTATCACTCAAAAAATACTCGTTTTAGAGGAAGTTGAAATTTGTCCCAATTTATCTGCCCAACCCTGTACGGGTTGCAGCAGATGCAATGTGCATTACAACAATGCCTCGTTTGTTTAAATCGATACATTTTTACCGAAGATACAGCCTACTAAACTTTGTCTCAATTTTTAGTGAAAACATAGTACACAGGTACCGGCAGCGGGCGGAGCAGACTGCAGACTAGCAACAAATACGGACGGCCGGGGCGGCCTGGTTTTCCAACAAATATGGCCTGGGCGCATATTCCCCATACATCAAACACCCGCGTCCATCATACCGTTAACACCCACCCTGACCACCACCGCGCTGGCAGCCGCCGGCGACTGACACTGCCCCTATGAACATCCCTCCCGAGCCCTCCCCGAGTCGCACGCACCTTGATGGGCCCGGAGCGGCCGGCGGCGGCGGCGGCGACTGCGGGCCGGGCGGGCCGGGCGGTCCGCTCGGGCGGCTCGTCGGCCGGCTCGTGGTACCAGTCCGACTGTTCGTCGTCGCCCTCCCGCCCCTCGTCGTTGGTGTAGACGCCCGGGTCGTCCAGGCCGTCCGACTCGCCGGCAGAGCTCAGGCTGCTGCTGCTCAGCATGTCCCTGTGCAAGGAGAGAGCGGAGAGAGAGTCAACGGAAGGAGACGGCTGGAGAGAGTCAGCGAAAGGGACCAGGGGCGGCAAAAGGGTCAGCGGCAGCAGCCGCGGGTGGTCTGGGATGGTACTGGAAGTTCGGGGTGGCACGGGAAGCCCAGGGACGGCCCGGACTCTTCAGATTGTCGTGTCCACACCATCCAGGTGTGGACTGCCAGGAGTCCACACCACCCACCGCGTCTCTGCCGTCACACAAAGTGTACATCCAAGCATCCAGAAGTCTACCTCAAGATTAGAACCCCAAAACTATAGCAATGAACACTGCCGATACTTCAACTGCAACGCAGCCAATTCGAAAGCTGAAGAGTCCATTCGCAAGCATTTCATTACCAATACCCACCCGTACAGCTGCCCCAAGTCAGACTGTTACCAACCCCTGCAGTCTGTCCGTTACCCACCCGTGCAGCCTGTCAGTTAGTTACCCACCCATCCGTGCACCTTGCAGCCTGTCATGAGTCTGTCCTTTACCCACCCGTGCAGCCGGTCGGTCTGTCAGTTACCCACCCGTGCAGCCGGTCGGTCTGTCGGTTACCCACCCGTGCAGCCGGTCGGTCTGTCAGTTACCCACCCGTGCAGCCGGTCGGTCTGTCGGTTACCCACCCGTGCAGCCGGTCGGTCTGTCAGTTACCCACCCGTGCAGCCGGTCGGTCTGCCCTTTACCCACCCGTGCAGCCGGTCCGTCTGTCGGTTACCAACCCGTGCAGCCGGTCGAGGTCGCTGCACTCCATCTCCTCCTGGTCCTGCAGTGGCCGGCGCGGCGGGAACATGCCGCCCTCCTTACGGTCACACTTGCGCTTCCACATCCGACGCAGCGACCTGAAACGGCCGCCGGTCCGTCAGGCGGGGAAGAGGGTGGCCGATCCGTCAGATGGGGGATGGGGACACGGTCAGCCAGCCTCACACAGCCACGCCAGGTCCGTCAGACGGGAGGGCGGTCACTCCGTCAGACGGAGAAAGGGGGACTAAGGAAGGGTAAACGAAAGAAAAATATTTGGAAAATGCAGGTCAACGTTACCGACACATCACAGAATATTACGACCCATGAATCGTACTACTTGTCTGATTAATGGCACTACTCAGCATTCACAATACGTAAGTTATTGGGACACATGGACAAACACGACACCTTGAAGTTAATTGACACTCTGTTCTAAGATTCCAACATTCCAAGACGCGCACCGGGCACCGAAAGATTACCGGTTTCCCGGTGACACAGTCTAGCCGCCGTGCCGCTCTCACCCGTGTCTGGGGTCGCTGTAGCCGTCCTGCATCTTGGAGCGCTTCCGGCTGAGCTCGGAGACAGAGCCAGCGCCGGCGCCCGGCGGCAGGCCCACCGAGGATGTCGACGGCTGCGACATCTCGCTGTCCAGCGCCATACGCTTCAGCTTCCGCTTCCTGGCGGCAGACGGCAGTGGTGCTGACCACAAGGCAGGCCAAGGTCACGCGAGCTGCTGGACACAGCGTTTTGGCTGCGGGTGTCATCGATGGGGTCAAAGTGAGCGTCCCTGTCCACCGCCGATGGAGTCAGAGGGATCTTCTTCGGGACAGCTTCACCAGGTGGACCCACAGCCGACAGCTGCTGATCTCAGTACACACAGCACTGATAAACCCCTCTCACACACGCTGAACTCGGCATATACGGGTCCCCCGACTCCAGTAAACACCGGTCACCGACTCCACGCCTCTCCATAGCACTGGCCCAATCACTGACCTCAGTACCTACATACAGACACCACTCACCGGTCTAGTCTGTACACACAGAGGGACTGCAGTTGCACTGACCTCAGTACGTACAGACTAGTGATGTCAATCGGTTACCGAAAATTTCGGTTACCGAAAAGATATGCTGACCGATTCGGTAATCGGTCGGTCAGGCCCCCCAAAAATCGGACACTTTCGGTCACCCTGCCAGTGAAACCATTTTCAAAAAGAGAAAGTATTCCATTTTTGCCTAGTTAAAATGAAATTTATTGGGATGTTAATGATAAAGAGTTGCAAAATTTCCCCCAAAAGCTACAAGAGATGCCACATTTTGGCAACTTAAGTACCCATCCTGATCCCACCCAGCAGGCAGCAGCCACCCATTGTGCAACCACAACTACAAGCAGGCTGATTTTGACTCAGTTGGCCCCACAAATACACACATTTTCGAAACTCAATTCCAGTCTAACTGTTAAGATATCACCTGTAATCAAAGAAGTATTGCATACAAAAATCATTATACAGTGAGCAAAAATGCAAGGACAAAAAGAACTTGAATTACTGAAATGTGTTTCTGAAGACTGGACAGTTAGCACTAAGCACTTAGCAGTGATCACATTTCAATTAACATTTCACAGGTGTTCTACTATTCCACATTCTCCTTAAATATTGCAGGTACCAACCAAATGTTTGAAATCTAGATGACCACAACATAAAAACATAGGAATCTTGATAAAAACTAGAGGGCCATGTCCGCTTTCTGGAATCTTCCACATCATCTCCAAACACAAGGGATTTTGAAACAGATGCACCATAACAGCGACTTTAAACCAGCTGATTAAGTTGCTGCAAAAAAGGTTTTGGATTGTTACATGCTGCCTCGTGAATGATTTTATTGATGTAAATGGTCCAACACGATTTTGATTTGAAGTCTAATGAAATCAACATTGTAAGTGTAATTCACTACAAGAAAATTAGTTTCACTTCAATAATTCAACCAAAAGGGCATATAAATAAATATTACGTCATCGTCTTACATCCTTTAGTTAGGGAAGAGAGGATCTTATAAGTCAATCCTTGGTTCTACTTGGGTTCTACTGGGTTTTACTATTATTTTGCGCCACTTTGCATTAATTTTGTCTGCATATTGTGTTTTCTTGTAAAGATAAGACAAAGTGCCAGTTTAATGAATTTTCATTTCATTTTTGGGACGAAATTCAGGCTCAGAGCTACCTAATACCTGCCTTTTCAGCTGGATTTTCAGTGTCAAATTCTTCGTAGAGTATCTCAGACCACATCTCAAGACTCAAGGCCAGTTTCCAAGCAGTGTTGATGTGTTTTGTGGTGTTTTGATTCTGCCTTTTCTCCTAGGGAATGTTGTCATGAACATACCTATTACCAACCATTGGACTTACTAATTGATCGTGCTTTTGCAACATAATGAGTATTCTTCCTTACATAGACCACAGCAGATTCTTGACAATTCTAATTAACCAAATCTGTGAAATGCTGAGGTCCATGTGTTCCTAGTCTACCCTTAGCAATGTAAATTCTACCACAAAATGTATTTTGCAGTGGCTAGGAATTGACTGAATTGGGACTGAAATGCCATTTCCCATTATTTTCCATCAGAATTTACCAATTATTTTAATTTTGGGGTAGAGTAATAGCAAATAGAATTTCGGTCAAATTTCGGTCAAATTTTGGCTTGGGATGTTATCGGTCGGTATTCGGTCGGAAATTTTTTCCCAATTTTTGATTTCGGTCGGTATCGGTCAGACATTTTTTGGAAAATGACACCACTAGTACAGACCGACACCACGTACCGGTCTCTGTACACACGTAGTGACAGCACCGACCTCAGTACATACATACAGACACCACTCACCGGTCTAGTCTGTACACACAGAGGGACTGCAGTTGCACTGACCTCAGTACGTACAGACCGACACCCGTACCGGTCTCTGTACACACAGAGGGACTGCACTGACCTCAGTACCTACATACAGACACCACTCACTGGTCTAGTCTGTACACACAGAGGGACTGCAGTTGCACTGACCTCAGTACGTACAGACCGACACCCGTACCGGTCTCTGTACACACAGAGGAACTGCACTGACCACAGTACGTACAGACCGACACCCGTACCGGTCTCTGCACACACAGAGGAACTGCACTGACCACAGTACGTACAGACCGACACCCGTACCGGTCTCTGTACACACAGAGGAACTGCACTGACCACAGTACGTACAGACCGACACCCGTACCGGTCTCTGTACACACAGAGGGACTGCACTGACCACAGTACGTACAGACCGACACCCGTACCGGTCTCTGTACACACAGAGGGACTGCACTGACCACAGTACGTACAGACCGACACCCGTACCGGTCTCTGTACACACAGAGGGACTGCACTGACCACAGTACGTACAGACCGACACCCGTACCGGTCTCTGTACACACAGAGGAACTGCACTGACCTCAGTACATACAGACCGACACCCGTACCGGTATCTGTACACACAGAGGAACTGCACCGACCTCAGTACGTACAGACCGACACCCGTACCGGTCTCTGTACACACAGAGGGACTGCACCGACCTCAGTACATACAGACCGACACCAGTCACGTGTCTCCGAACATACAGAGGAACTGCACTGACCTCAGTACGTACAGACCGACACCCGTACCGGTCTAATTTGTACACACAGAGGAACTGCACTGACCTCAGTACATACAGACCGACACCCGTACCGGTCTCTGTACACACAGATGAACTGCACTGACCTCAGTACATACAGACCGACACCCGTACCGGTCTAATTTGTACACACAGAGGGACTGCACCGACCTCAGTACATACAGACCGACACCCGTACCGGTCTAATTTGTACACACAGAGGAACTGCACCGACCTCAGTACATACAGACCGACACCCGTACCGGTCTAATTTGTACACACAGAGGAACTGCACTGACCTCAGTGCATACAGACCGACACCCGTACCGGTCTCTGTACACAGAGATGAACTGCACTGACCTCAGTACATACAGACCGACACCCGTACCGGTCTAATTTGTACACACAGAGGGACTGCACCGACCTCAGTACATACAGACCGACACCCGTACCGGTCTAATTTGTACACACAGAGGAACTGCACCGACCTCAGTACATACAGACCGACACCCGTACCGGTCTCTGCACACACAGAGGAACTGCACTGACCACAGCAAGTACAGACCGACACCCGTACCGGTCTCTGTACACACAGAGGAACTGCACTGACCACAGTACGTACAGACCGACACCCGTACCGGTCTCTGTACACACAGAGGGACTGCACTGACCACAGTACGTACAGACCGACACCCGTACCGGTCTCTGTACACACAGATGAACTGCACTGACCTCAGTACATACAGACCGACACCCGTACCGGTCTAATTTGTACACACAGAGGGACTGCACCGACCTCAGTACATACAGACCGACACCCGTACCAGTCTAATTTGTACACACAGAGGAACTGCACTGACCTGAGTGCATACAGACCGACACCCGTACCGGTCTCTGTACACAGAGATGAACTGCACTGACCTCAGTACATACAGACCGACACCCGTACCGGTCTCTGTACACACAGAGGGACCGCACCGACCTGCGCTGCAGCCGGGCCGGCGAGAAGTTCTCGTTGACCGAGTCGGACTCGCCGAGCGGGCCCGCCAGGCAGGCGGTGGCCGACAGACGGTGGCGCTGGGTGCGCCGGCTGTGAGACAGGATGCCCGCCGTGCTCACCATCTCATCCGAGTCGCTCTGCCCGCAGACAGAGCCAGAGAGCGGTTAGACTCAGCCCGAACACCGAACGGCGCCGTCGGCACGGGCGAGCGATCACGGAGCAGGGGCTCACAGCCGTCCATTAGTGGGCATCCCTCCATATGAAAGGACATTAAACGATTCACCTCTGAATTCTGCCCTGATTATGGCTCAAAGGACAGGCGCATGACTATTCGCATAATTTCACAGATGGCGGCAGTCCAGGGCAGCATCCCAGTGCCGGAGCTCCGACAGATCACAGCCGCTGCTCACACGCACGTCTCGGTCAGGGGCCCCATCCTCTGCCCAGCGCCGGCGCCAGCCGGCGCGGGCCACTCACCACCTGGACGCTGGAGATCTGCCGCTCGGTGGACAGGTGGGCCTCGCCCACCGAGCTGCCCGAGTCCTCGCTGTAGGCGCGCGCTGCCGACGGCGGTACAAACGGGGCTAGTTACACTGCACAGCAGGGCCAGACGGGCGGCGGACAGGGTCAGGGTCAGACCGCAGCTGTGACAAGGTCAGACTGCAGCAGTGACAAGGTCAGACTGCAGCAGTGACAAGGTCAGACTGCAAATAAATATAGATGAAATGCAGTCGAAATAGATCGGGCAATGTTGGCCGGACGGTTTAGACTCTGAGAGGAAGATTAAACAAGTGGGGTGATAATACGGGTGAGTTTCTTCGCTGTCTGGTTTTCACAATTAATATAATTTGAATGTCGAAATGCGCCTTGGATGGTGCCCACGGCCCACAATTGCAGGACCGCAATCTGCCGAAAATGAAAGTGACTACAATGAATCGGCAATAGCTCGTTTTGTTTCAGACAAAATCAAGCAAAAAAAAAAATTACAAACGATGTAAAAAGTAGTGGAAAGAAACACCTTCCTCCAGTTGTGGTAGCTGGGCCACTAGGTATCGCGGGGCTCCGGACAGAAGACATGAAAGAATATCTCACACGGGCGCCGTACAGGACATATGGGTCACTCATGCAGTGCGCCGCACAGGGAAGATGGGTCACTCACGCGGGGCGCCGGACAGAGTGCCGGCCGAGCGTGAGCGGCGCCGCCAGCCGCGCCGCCGCCGATGGGACGACGAGGAGCTCTCCTCGAGCGCGTGGCTGAGGTCGCGCACGAGCGCCTCCATGCTGCGGCGTCCGCGCTGGCGCCGCTCCGGACCGCCGGACCGCAGCACGTGCAGCCGCTGCAACCTCCGTATCAGACTGGGGTCCATCGGCGCCGCCCCATGCAACCACTGCCAGAGTAACAGCAGCAGATTAGAAAATAAAAAAGTAAGTGAAACCAAATCAAAATCTCCATACCTATAGGCTTATTTTTGCACATATCAGTTTCCTAGAAACATTTGCCACACGAATGAAAAAATATCCAGCATTCTCCTATTACCAGCTCAGAATTCAGAGCTCATCACCATGCAACAAGTTTCTAACAGCATCAAATTACATGAATTACGACTTCAATGCCAATCTGTAAATGACTTGAAAGATTCAAAAAGGGGAAGTACTGTCTTATTTCAGCGCAACGATGGGTTGCATTGAAATATTGAATTGAGATATTTCAATCATAAATAACTCTACACACACGCGCACACGCACACGCACGCGCAGTGCGCCATCGGCACTTGGTGCAGAGCGCCGCGGGGGCCGGTGCACCGCTTGTCCGGGCACTGCTGGCATACCATGGAGGGGAGACGGCCGATCAGGTGCAGGTATTGAAGCGCGCCTTCATCTATTCTGCCGTATTAAGGCAAAACCCATTATGTTTGGGTGACCTCTGACCTGAGGTAATGGCCTCTGACCCGACATAATGTTTTTTGCCTTTGCACGGCAGTATTGCTCCCAAACGGCGTCCTCTCGGTCCTCTCCGGGGATGGGGAGCAGCAGCGTGCTCCCGAAGAGCGGTCGGAGCGGTTAGTTGGCTTCCATACCAATCCCCTCAACGAGGTTGAAGGCCTTTCGGCCTCACCTGGGAAGGCCTCACCCAGTGGCGTATCTAGGATTTCTCTCAGGGGGGGAGTCCGCAGTCAAAAGGGCCCTTGACTGACTGGGATGAAAGGGCCCTTAAGTGGCAAAAGGGCCCTTGTAGCCTGAGTTGAAAGGGCGTTAACCCACACCCCGTAGGGGGGGGGGGCGAAACGGCCCCTGTCCTCTTCCGTAGCTATCTCCTAAATGACTGCAGATATCGCCACCAAACTTTCAGAACCTCTCCGGGCATCCATTTTACACATTGTTACCAATTTTTCCAGAGGCTATGATAGGTTAGCCGCAAATGACGTCAAAATGACGACATGTTCTGCCATTTTCGACCCAAAAAAGGTTTTGCAGGAAGAGGTGTCAGGCCTACAGAGCTGTAGAAACATTAAGACATAAAAGGTGTAGAATTAACAGGCCTAGGTCAAATCTGAGCACAGTTTACAGAAAGAGCGTTAAAAGAGCTTTGTTTGTTTTGTTGGGTTGGGCCCAGGCCCTTTCGGTCTGATGAGACCATTTCAGGGCCGGAAGGATGATAGGAATTGAGGGAGACATTGGTCTGGGCGGGAACCTTGGTGACTCACCGGCCACCGGGGCTGAGCCTGTCCAACAGGACAGGCCGACCAGCCCCAAAGTGCTCACTGCACACGGTTACGAGTGTGCTTTCTTAGGAGCTGCAGTGCAGCGCTCCAATGGGAGCCGCCCGCATGGAATAAAGTTGCCCGTCCAGGTCCAGCCCGGATCAGGGGTTGCGGCATGGAGAAGGATTTGAATGTCCTGAGGATGGAAACGGCGAAACGGGTGTTAAAAGAGCTATTAACTACGCTTTTCCCCGGCACTGTAGCTCTATTCATTTCCGAGTCATGCGGTGCTTTGTTGAAAATTGTCCAAATTGGACCTCAAAATTGGCGAAATTTGACCTTGGATGGACTATGTGAACTGACCTTTGGCCTGATCTAAAAAGTGACAAGAGTAATTTCGTCATTATTGTTTGCGTCCCTTCGAACGCTGCCTTTGGCGTGTTGGTACGTGGCTCAGAAGCCAAGTTAGAAGCAGGGGTGCGGAGCCGGAGCTGGAGCCGGAGCCGCCGGAGCCGGCATTTTTGCCCGGAGCCAGAGCCGTGAAACAATATAGCCCGGAGCAAGGGCTGGAGCCGGAGCTGTCAAAAAAAGGCGGCGACTCCGGCTGCTTTTTTAAGAGGAAAAAACTATTGACCTAGTTCGGTTTGACAGCACAAGGCAGTAAACATGTGGTATTCAAAATAGCCTTGTTATGCAAATACAGAAGCAGCGTGAACCAATCCTTCATCTCTTCTCTTCCACCCGTATTTAATTGTATAGAGGATGTATGTACTGAGTAGAGTACTGGAGCCGGAGCCGGAGCCACCGGAGCCGGATCATTTTACTCGGAGCCGCAGCCGGAGCCGGAGCCGCCATGACATTTCACCCGGAGCCGGAGCCGGATCCGATTTTTTTTTACGGAGCCGTCTGAAATTTCCCCGTCTCCGCATCCCTGGTTAGAAGGACCCTGGCCGGCCGAGGGGGGCGTGGGTGCCACCACATCGTTTTTTTTTTTTGCGACAGCTCGGAACACGTCGGCAACAGAGCCAAAACTGGGCATAGCTACCTGACCTTTGATGCAAACCGGGCCTTGTGACACCTGCATTTTCATGGGGGGCCTCTGGTCGTCTTAACCCTCGCCCGCGCATGCCATTTTCCCATCCTAGAACGCACATGGGGGGGTTGCCACCCCCCCCCCCCGCGCCATTTCGTTCCTGTTGGAGATAGAGCTTCGCAGTAAAGATCAAAAAGTTTCTTTGGGAAGAGAAGAATCCAATGATACCCAGTTTTACGTTTTCAGGTCAGTCATTGACCTTACAGGTCAGGTCAAACTAAAAAATGTTGCTGTTTTCGGTCATCGTTGGATATCAAGTGCGCTGCTTAGCATATACCGATGACGATGCCGTTTTCTGGTGCCAAGCAAGCTAGAACATCTTTGTCACACTACTCGACCAGGTTTTTGCTGCTGAGGTCATTCCAGGTCAAGTTAGGTCAAGGTCAATGATATGTGTTTGTATGTCTGTGTGTGTCTGTGTGTATACTGATGTGTGCACCGATTGTTTAGGTGTCCATATTACATGAAATCATGATCTGAGAAGCTTTTACCAAAAATGCAGCAAAAAAACTTCACGAAAAGTAAATTCAGCTTGCCTATAATGCCATTATTTTAGATGACCTAGGTTGACCTTGACCCTGACCTTGACATCTGTCGTCGAATCGTCGAACAACATGTTCCATGATAGGTGGGAGGTAAGACTGGCAAAAAAGGCCGAAATCAAGGTGTCAAAAGCTCACAAGGCCCATAGCCAACGCAAGATGTTGATAATTGGGCATTTGGGTCATGACATGACCTGAAAAACAAGGTCATATTTCCGAAACCAAAAACCGCAGAAACTTGAAATTTTCAGTGGACATCAAGAACGGATAGAGGAGCAGCTATACGAAAAATCAGGCTTCTAGCTTTAAACATGTTGAGTACAGAGCAGAAAAACTACCTGGGGGGGTGGCAACCCCCCCCCCCATGTGCGGGCGAGGGTTAAGGACCCTCTGCTACCCTCAGCGGGACCCTCTGATGGCCTCTGAAGACCATCACTGGCCTCAAAGGGCCCTCTAGTGCCCTCCATGGGCCTTCTGGGTACGTGAAAGGGTCCTCTGTTTTCTCTCCAGGGGCCCTTTTTTACCTCAAAAGGTCCTCTTTTACTTCATATGGCCGTATGTTGGTCTAATACATGAGGCCCCTGGTGGCCTAAAATAACCCTCATATCATCTAAGGTGACCCCCTGTTTGCCTTAGGAAAGATGGCCCTCCGGGTGCCTGAGAGGCCCCAAGGGCCCAAGGGTTTGTGTCCCAAAGGGCCCTTTGTTGGCTTCATAAGGCCTCTAGTTGGCCTAAAAAGTCCTCAGATTGTCCTAAAGGGCCCTCTGATCGCCTCCGAGGGCCGGCTTGTTCCTCAGAGTGCCTGATGACCTCATAGAGCCCATAGTGGCCTGACATAGCCTTCATATCACCTCAGAGGGCCCTCGGTTGTAAGGCTCAAGTGGCCTTCTCAGAGGGCTCCAACTGCCCTGCGACTGACAATTGTCCACTCTAATCCCCCTTTTGGGTGACCTATTTCCCCCTCTGACACCTAAGCCAAAATACAATTTTGGGACACTGACTCCGAGGGCCAGTTTAATTTTAGAGGGCCCTCTTTGAGGTGGATGTGAGGGCCCTCTGTTCGCCTCAGAGGGCCCTCTGGTGACTTCAGACTTCAGAGGACCCTATTTTGGCATCAGAATTCAGAGGGCGCCTCTCTGTGGCATCAGAGGGCCCTCGGAGGCCTCAAATGGCCCTATTACATCTCAGAGAGCTGGCTTTGACCTCAGAGGGATCTTTTTACTTCTTTGTGGTGTCTAAGTGGGCCCTCTGGCCTTTGTTCGTCTCAAGGGGCCTCAAGGGGTCCTCCGATGACTTCCAAAGACCCTCTTTGATCTCAGAGGGCCTGATGACCTCATAGGGCTCATGGTGGTCTGATCTAGCCTCATATCACCTCAGAAGGCCCTCCAGTGGCCTCAGAGGGCACTTTGTGGCCTTTGAAGGCCATCCATTCGCCTTAGAGGGCCCTCTTTGATCTCTTTGATCCCTTCGATCTCAGAGGGCCCTCTTTGAGGTGGCTGAGAGGGCCCTTTGTTCACCTCAGAGTTCTGGTTCTGGTTCAGAGTTTGTTCTGGTGACCTCCAGGGACCATCTTTGATCAAAGAGGGTCGTCTGGTGGCCTCATAGGATACCTTGTGGCCTGAAATCGACCCTCGTACCACAGAGGGTCTTCTGTTCGTCTTAAGGGACCCTCTGCTGATCTTAGCAGGCCCTTTGTGTGCCTGGGAGGGCCCCCTGAGTACCTGAGAGCCCTCTGTGTGTTTGAGAGTGCCCTCTGTGTGCCTGAAAGGGCCCTCTGTGTGCCTGAGAGGGCCCTCTGTGAGCCTGAGAGGGCCCTCTGTGTACCTGAGAGGGCCCTCTGTGTGCCTGAAAGGGCCCTCTGTGTGTCTCAGAGGACCCTCTGTGTACCTGAGGCGGGTGGGCCCTCTGTGTGCCTGAGAGGGCCCTCTGTGTACTCTGTGTGCCTGAAAGGGCCCTCTGTGAGCCTGAGTGGGCCTTCTGTGAGCCTGAGAGGGCCCTCTGTGTGCCTGAGAGGGCCCTCTGTGTGCCTGAAAAGGCCCTCTGTGTGTCTCAGAGGACCCTCTGTGTACCTGAGAGGGCCCTCTGTGTCCCTGAGAGGGCCCTTTGTGTGTCTCAGAGGGCCTTTGTGTGCCTGAGAGGGCCCCCTGTGTGCCTGAGAGGGCCCTCTGTGTGCCTGAGAGGGCCCTCTGTTTACTTCACAAGGTCCCTCATTGGCCTAAAGGTGTCCTCTAATAGTCCTCAAAGGGTCCCTAAAAGAGTTCTACAATGCTTTTTCTTTATGCGAATAAAATGGGAAGTGGTCAAAAGGGCCCTTGAAGTCTTTTCAATTTTTCCCCTGTTATAAAAAAAAACTTTTCATCTAGGTTCCAGGGGGTCCTAGGACCCCCAGGACCCCCCTTGGATATGCCACTGGCCTCACCTCACCTCCTCTAAGTAGACTCAGGGTGGCTCGCAAGTTGCAGCAAGCGACGATCGGGGCGCAGGAATTCTCATCCCAAATAGTCTCCAGAGCCGCCCGCAGGGCAAATCGAATCTGCTGCGAGATTAACCGGTGTACTGAAAAATTTGGTGACTGCCATTTGCTGAAAATTCTGCAGCTGCCATGCAGCAAAAAAATTGGCGACCAGTCGACCACCATACACGAAATTTGGCGCGAGGTTACGCCAGACTATGCTTAATTAATATTTGGTGCAATCCCACCATGTCGCCAGACATTTTCAACATAATGTGTATTTTTCCAATCCAAGTCTGGCTCTCAATGGCATGTCTTTAAAACGCAGTTCACACATGACCGTCAGTCTGTCGGTGTCGGGCCCGTCACCGTCGACCTGACGGCCTGCAGCCCGTCAGACGAAAGTTGAGATTTGGTAGCTCCCATTGGCTGCCATATGCTGTGACAGAAATGGCGCACCAATTTCAAGATTGACGCAGATGGGGGAAGGGGATGGGGGCTGAGAGGTTAAAAATATTCTTTGAATTACAGAAATAAATTACCACGCATTTACATTTTTATGTCAAATAATGCTGCAATTTTATTTAAATGAAAGACACATCGTTTCGTTGATTTAAATCAGGGATCGAATCTCAAGATATCGTGCCGTAATAAATACTTCCATCTCAACAAATGCATGGAAAATGGTATAAATGATCTTAAAAATGCATATAAGCTTCATGCTGCATGAGAACGTTACTTTTCCTCTTCCTCCAACACGCAGATATTCAAACCGACGGGCCCGTCACCGTCAAAAGTTGAACATTGCTGAACTTTCCAAAGCGACGGCCGTCAGGTCCGGCGCCGGCGCAGTCAGCTGTTGCCGGCCGTCAAACGCTGCCGGTTCACACATGACCGTCGACCTGACGGCCGTCGCTCCGTCAGTTTCGGCCGTTTTGACGGTGTCGGGCCCGTCACCGGCAGACCTTACGGGCAAGTGTGAACTGCGTTTAAGTCTCTATGAGCCAGGGTTTGTATTTTGTACTTATCTTCCATCTCTTTCTTGACATTATGGTATCCTGCCTGACGATTCAAGCAGGTGTCTAATTAATTCATACCAAAAATGAGCTTATTCATATCATGAACAATATACCTACAGTAACACAGTTCTCAGTTCTCACCTTAACCTCAACCTTCACGATCTATCTTGCGGACACCAAACCAAAGCAAAGTGCGTTTGTTGTGCTTCTAAGCAATATTACTAGTTGAAAAGACTGGAACAGCCAGCAACTTCAGTCAGCTCCAACTCCCAGATACATAAAAATAAGAGCAATGGTATTTTCATCACGGAGTTCTATAGCCACGCTCATCACTTGCAAACGCTTAAAGGGACCCTCCCACCTTAACATTAGTTTTGAGTTGAGATAGCCAAGTTTTCGGCCAGGCTCAGAAACCACCATTTATCCTGAGCCCTGATCGGCGGCCGGCTAGTACTCTTGCCCGCGCTCACATACGTGCACGTTACCCCGGCAACGGGCTATTGACCAATGAGAAGCGAGAAAAGTGTTACGTCACTGCGATTTTTCATATACCTGTGCCCCCCGGACGTGACGTAGTGTGCTCGCGCGCGTGCAGGGTCTCTGCGATCGAAAAAGAGCGCTAGCAGCGCGCCACTCGACGCCGCAATTGTCAAAAGCAGCGTGTTAGTATGCTTTATTATGAATGATGTGTGTAAAAGTGAGTTTTTATGTTGTTTATTTGGAGGAAATGGTTGGAATAAATTAAGTTATTTTTATTTCTGTTGGTTGGAGTTTTTATTCAAAAGATTTCGGTCTATAGCATTGATATTTACTGAAAATACCTTCGTTTGAATAAATTGTAGATATTTGGCAACTGAGGTGTTAGGTAAGCCTAAATGATATGTAAAAAGGTAAGAGACACCCTGACGATCATTTGAGAAACGAAAATATATGAATTTCCCTTATAAGGCTCGCTCAATATGCTACTCCGCGGTTTATGCCCCGAGGGTGTCCGAGGGTTCCCGTTAGTTTGTCGTTGGCGCTCGGCTCGCGCGCGAGCCGACGTCATCGCCCGTGACGTCGGCTCGCGGAATGCGTCATACCCTGCACACAAAATAGCCGGCTGCCGAACAGCGCTCTGGTCGCAACCCCCGCAGCTTTATGGTGTTCAAGAAATTTCTTCCCTTTACTTGCAGGGTGTAAAGTAATCTTGGTGGGACCAGCGTGGTCCCTACCTCTTAACCATTACGGGAATCTGATGACGTCATCAGGCTTTCGAACGTCCGTCATTAATTTTACTAAAACGTTTGGTAGCACGCGGTGGTATATGCTGCTTTGCGCGCAACAAATGCCGCACTTTCAAATAAAGTCGCTAGGAACAGCGGAGATCCCAAAAAGTAAACAAAAGTAAAAGTCTAATATCTTGAAAACCGGTGAATATTTTTCGATAAAATTTGGTAGATATTCGTTTTCGCTCTTTCTGAACCTGGCGACATCACTTTCATGCCAATTCATTAACTTTTTTGAAGGTGGGAGGGTCCCTTTAACCAAGCTCAAGCGCAAGGCCCTATATACCAGGTAGGGTCGTCCGGCGATTCTACCTTTTCGTGACGTCAGCTCGTGACGTCATTTGGAATCAAGTCTCGAAGCCCCGTTCAATCCCCATGTAAATGAGCGATTTTCGAAGCACTGTAGAATGAAGTCTGCACAAGATATATCAAACCTAAGTATCTTATCTGAAAGAGCAAACAATTTTCTGCAAGTTATCTCTTACGTGTTTTTCGCTAAATCTTTTGCTTTTTCACAAAAGCGTAAAATGTCCCCCCATGTCTCCGCAGCCTCCCTGCCGCCGGCCGCCGCGCGGTCGCGGTAGTGTAGTGGTTAGCGTGCCCGCGCAGTATTCCAAAGGTCCCGAGTTCGAATCTATGCGGTGCGGAACTTTAATTGCAATTCCAAGCTGAATATACGCACATCCATAATAAATTATTATTCGTATAGCTAAACTGTCACCAAGCTATCCATATAAATTGACTTCACCCAAAATATCGGCAAGATTCTATTAAAATATAAATTCAAATATGGCGGCTTGGACTGCCGCGTGCGTTGCGTATATATCTTTCCCGAGCGAAAAAAACAAACATTCCAGTTTTTTGGCGCTTTTGTTTCAATTGTGGTGGTTCTGTTCGAAGGCCCATACAATTGGCATTTTCACGTGATGTGGGTTGGGAGGAAGTGAGTGGGTTGCATTTCGGTAAATGGTTGGTAAGCATAATCCTTTCCTTCCCATCCCGCAAATAATCTCACCGATAATCTGTGAGAAACGTCATTTACCAGTCCATTTCTCTCGGGATCTCCATCCTGACAGCGAGAGAAGCTCTCGTCAACACAGCAAACTGAGGCAATTGTGGCGCGGCACATGAGGATTGTATTGCATGTGTTAACTGGGAGAAGGAAGACGCCTACCCATCATTCAAGGTAAAGGTGTCAAAAAAAACCCTGTGTATAACAGCACGTGTCTGTGTGCATGCAGGCGCCTTGCAAGCTGATGTGGGTGTGAGGTGGATGTGAATCGGGGCATGCTGCATGCGAATTGCTAGGCAAGTTGCTTGCGGGCTTGGCTTGAGGAAAAATCGGGGCTGTGAACAGAGCTTTGAATCTTGATTATACACACAACTATAAACACGAAATGGGGCCAGGAATCTCACCGACAAATAGCAGAAAAACACCTACAACAAGACAGATCGCGGACAAAGGGAAAGGTAAGAGAGATGCAGAGAGGGCGGAGAAGGGAAAAATGGCCAGGGCAGAAGACAAAGAAAGACGAGTAGTAATAAGCTAGAAAATGGAAACAGAGAAAGCCATTGGAAAACTAGACAACAGTGTCTTTGAGGCTTTTGAACCAGCACACAGATCATCAGTTGACCTGAGTAAGGAGGCAATATGCAAGGGAGGGCCTGGGCACAAATGTGGTCTTCCAGTTGGCTACGAAGACGAGGGAGTGGAATGTGACCTTTGTCATCGTTGGTTCCACGCAGCATGTCAGGAGATACATACGGAAGCATACAAAGCACTCCAGGAACACCCTGACACACTGGCATGGATGTGCAAAGCCTGCAGAAACGAGTTAAAGAACAGGAAGTATCCACACTCAGAAACTGAGTACAGCAAGTTGGAAGCCAAGATCGATCAGTTGGCAGAGGCGCTAAAAGACCAAACGAGAATAATAAGGAAGTCAGCAATCGAAAATGAACAAGCCATTAGAGAAATAGGAGAGTTTCAAGGGCGCAATATTTCCACATTGCAAGAGCAGAATGAAGCAATGATACAGCGTGTAGAGGAAATGAAGAGCAGGGAAACGGAGAGAAAGACGGAGATCAGGAAGACGTATGCAGATGTCACAAAAGTGGTAGAAGAAATAAAAGAACAACAAGAAGTCATCAAGGGTAACTCTGAAGGTATCAAAAGAGTGATACAGAACAAAGAGTTAGAAGAAAGGGCGACAAATGTGCTGATACACAATCTCCCAGAGAGCAAAGCAGAGAAAGGAGAAGACAAAAAACAGGAAGACATAGTGAAGTTCAAAGAAATAGCAGATGCTCTGGGAGTGCGAGACTTTGAAATCCAGAAGATTGTCAGATTGAGGCAAAAACCTACAACGGAGAAAGGAGATGAAAGAAATGGAAATCAGAACCAGAAAACGAAACCAAGAATACTCCTGCTGAAGCTGGGATCTAAGGAGCACGTGGAGCTTTTGTACAAAAGGAGGTTTGATCTCAAGAGCAAAGGCATAGAAAATACCTACATTACAAGGGACCTACCTCCCGAAGAAAGGGAGAAGCAGAGAAGACTGAGAGAGGAGTGGCTCAAGAAAGGGCGAGAAACCCATGTCATTTCTCGGGGGAGGGTTGTCGAAAGGAAGGGAAACAAAGTAACACAGTAAGAAGGAAAGAAAGCAGGGATGGAAGGTACAGGAAACAAGCAACAAACAAGGGGTCTAAGACCGACAACCAAGAAAGTAGAAAGGTTTACAAATTGAATCTCATTAACATACAAGGATTAACAAAGCAAAAGCTGGCAGAACTAGAAGAATTGTTAGCCTACAGTTGTGACATCTTATGTATTACTGAGACCCACCAGAGATATGATAAACTTGAGATTGACAAGAACTTGATCAAGATAGAGAGCATGAGAAAACAAAAAGACAAGAAAGGAGGAGGACTCATGTTTTTGCATAAACAAAACAGTGGTGTTGCTTTAAGTAAAGCCCCTTCAGAGAACGAAGATGTTTTGGAAGTGAGGGGAAGTATATTGAACAAACAGGTAAGGATAATACTTGTTTACATGTCAGTTGAAACAAAACCAGAAGACAAAACACGAAACGAGAAAATCAAACAAGAGCTTGAAGAGAAGCTAGAAGAAAGTCCAGACATGGCAACAATGTTGTTGGGGGATTTTAATGGACATGTAGGGTTCCTAGGAAGCCAAAAAGAGAATAGGAACGGAAAATTTGTCATTGATGTGATAAACAAAAACAATAGATTTTACTGAATGGTGATGACATATGTGAAGGCTTGTATACATGGGGAAGTAAAGAGTACAGAAGTGTTATTGACTATGTGCTGGTCAACAGTAAGATGCATCAGTCTATCCTTAAGATGAAAATTGATGAAAGTCAAGAACTACTAGATCTATCAGATCACAACATGATCACAGTGTTTTTCAAAGATGAAAAGTCACTGAGTCTCAATAAAGCCAAATGGAAAGATGAATACTTCTTTAAGACAGACCAAGAATCATTGTCGGGCTTCGTGCAAGAGGTACTACATAGAATAGAAGCTGATAACATATGCCTAATGGAAGATCTCAATGTGATAATGAAGGATGTGGCAGAGAAATTGCTTACAAGAAGGTACAGAAGAAAAACTGACAGAAAGAATGAAAAAATCAAAGAAAAACCATGGATGACCGAAGAAATACGGAAACAAATCAAGCAAAGGAAAGCCTTCAACAGACTCAGGAGAAATGCAAAGTCAGAAGAAGAAAAGAGCAGATTATATGAAAAATATTATGAGCAGAAACGACTGACGAAGCTACTCATCAAGGAAGAAATAGCAAAGCATGAAAAAAAAGTGACTGACGAAATACGTTATGGTAGCTACAAAAGCAAGGCACTTTGGGAGAATATCAACAAACTCAAAGGAAAGCAAAAGGATAACAGTCCAGTTCGCCTATTCACAGAAGCTGGACAAATGCTACAAGGAGAAGAAGAAAAGGAAAACTTAGCAAGTGTCTGGAAGGAAATCTATCAAAGACATGAAAACAAGATAGAAGAAGTGTGGAACGATAGGGCGAAGCTAACCTATACTGCAGATCTGGAGAAAGAGAAACAGGACCAGATACAAATAAAAGGATATAGTTTCCCAATCACACTGAGAGAACATATGGATATGGCCATGAACAGTAGGAAGAGGATGAAGAAGATGGAAGATATACAAATAACTGAGGAAGAAGTCACCAAATGTATAGGCAGGCTTAAGAACAAGTCAGCGGCAGGACCAGATGAACTCAAGCCAGAATTATACAAAGCTTTGATAAAAAATGAAAAATGCTTGAAGATACTGACAGGCTGCTACCAAGAGGTCCTCGAGAGAAGTGACACACCATCAGAATGGAAGATATCAAGGACGAAAATGATACCAAAGACGTCTAAGCCAACTGCCAAAGATTTGAGACCAATTGCTTTAACGAATATGTCATATAAGATCTACATGTCAATTCTAAAACAGCGACTAGAAGATCATCTAGAAAGCACAGAGCAAAAGTTAGAGACACAAGCAGGGTTTACGAGAGGAGGAAGGATAGAGGACAACCTTTTCCTATTACAGTACTGTGTGGAAGAAAGCTTTAAAATGAAGGCACCTCTGATTGTTACTTCAATTGATTACAGCAAGGCGTTTGATTCCATCGATAGAGCTAGGATGGTAGAGGTGCTCATGAAATACAAGATTCACCCCAAAATGATTGATGCTGTGGCAGCCACATACCAAGGAGACAGAACCTGGATTGAACTAAATGAGAACATAAAGTTAGAGATATTAGTAACAAGTGGTATACGGCAAGGGTGTACAGGATCAACTGCTTTCTTCAAGCTCATGACTTATATCATCACAAAAGTAATGGAGGCAACAGAAGCAGGGTTCAGAAGCTGCAAATTTACGCTGCCAATCCTATTCTTTGCTGACGACGGGCTCCTACTGAACCATTCTATTGAAGAAACAGAGACTAGCATCAGAAGACTGACAGCAATTAGCAAGGAGTGTGGACTGGACATAAACAAGAATAAGAGCAACATTATCACATTCAATCTGAAAGAACAGCACAGAAGCATAGATGATATTGAAGTACCTAAAAGAAAACATAAAATACTTAGGTCTGAAAGTAACTAATACAAGGGATGTGTTCAGAGGGCAGAAAAGAATCATGATTGAAAAGGCACAAAAAATGGCAAACATGACCTATTCAGTAATTGCAAAATCATGCAACAAACTGCTGATTGGTAAGACCTACTGGAAATCCTTAGCCCTGCCATCAATACTGTATGGCTCCAGTGTCATGACAGTCACAGAGGAAGAGACCAAGAAGCTGCAAGTAATCGAAAATGGCGTCTACAGACAGATCTTGGGGGCTCCAAAGTATGCACCAAATGCTGCATTGAGAGGAGAAATTGGAGCATCTCTGATGACAACAAGGATTAAAACTGGAAGACTTCAGTACATGAGAAGCATATTGCAAGGAAAAAATCAACTACTCAAAGAGGTGTTAACAGAAATGATGGACGAGGGCAAGAACAAATGGATGAAGGTAACCTATTCCATTATTAAGGAAGTCGGACTCAAAGTAAAGGATTTGTACCAGATAAGCAAAAAAGACCTTAAAACACACATGCAAAAATGGGATGGAAAGAAATGGAAGGAGGAATTGTTAACTAAAACTACTCTGTCCCTGTATATTGTCTGGAAAAAGGAGATGAAGGAAGTAACGTTTATTGACAACCAGCAAGCATCAACAATATTTTTCCAGGCAAGAGCTAACTGTCTTCCTTTAAATGAGCGCAAGAGATACAAGAAAGAAGACACAAGATGTATGATGTGCAATGCAGAAAATGAAGACCTCGCCCACTTTATATTGAATTGCCCAGCTTACGAAGAAGAAAGAAAAGAATCAATGCATCTTCAGAAACCCTATGCAAAGGATATTTTAGGGATGTTTCTGTTTGAGGAGGAAGATATCGAAGAAAAGAAAGAAGTATTGCTTAAGCTGTGGAAGAAAAGAAGACTGCTGGAAATAAAACAAATTTCTCCATCCTGATTGACCTTCATCCTCCCAACACCCAATCCTGTCCCCTAGTGAGAATCCTAGCCACACAAACCAACCATAACAATGCAACCCATCGATCAAAGTAAAAGTTAAAGTTTAAGAACTCAAGGAGGTGCCGATACAAAGGCTAAACCTCCGATAACCATCGCATCGCATCGCATACAGATGGTGTTTGCGCAAAATTTCTAACGGAAAATCACCGACTATTTAGTGTCGACAGCTGCATATTAACTTTTTGAACACGCCTCCATCACTGCTTGTTTATAGGCTGTCTGTGGTATTGGGCTGTGTTGCTGTATATACCGTGTGTTGCTGGGTGATTGTGATAATATTTTGATGATTAACCTTTTTATTCAGCGGTAGAGAATTCTGAAAATCCCAGGGGGTGCTACAAACCCCTAATTATCCACCCCTGTTTTTTATTTTAAGTTCCATCCAGTACCAGTATGAGTGTTTATGACTTGGAAGGTAGGTGAAACATTTCATTATTGTAATTTTAATCTTTTGAGACCTGAATTTCAACATTCTCTTGAGAGCCTGAGAGCATTCATGCCAAGGTTTCTGAGTCTGTTTCATGATAAAGAGACAATATTTATAATGGAGTCAACTTTCGGGACGCAAACAACAGGTTTTGGTGGGGGGCTGCCACTCCCAGTGGTCACCGGTCACTAGTGGGGTGCCGCAGGGCTCTGTCCTTGGCCCACTGTTATTCCTGGTGTACATCAACGACATTCCAGATGTGGTGACCTCATCAATCAAGATATTCGCTGATGATACAAAAGTTTATCGCAGTGTATCTAAGCCATCCCAGATTCAGGACCTCCAACAGGATATCAACTCAGTAGTTGAATGGTCCGATAGATGGCAACTGCCATTCAACGAAGCAAAATGCAAGAGTTTGCACATCGGCCCAAGTAACCAGGAGCACCACTACACAATCAGAGGTAACCGTCTCGAATCTGCCAGTGAAGAGAAAGATCTGGGTGTCTTTATCGACTCATCCCTCAAGTTTAGAAAACAGGCAGCATCTGCAGCTTCCAAGGCCACCCAGGTCCTGGCCGTGATTCGGAGGTTGTTCGCTCACCTTGATGAACAGACTCTGACGCTGCTTTACAAGTCTCTTGTACGTCCACTCCTCGAGTATGGCAACGTTTCATGGGGACCGTTCAACAGACACGATCAGAGGCTGTTAGAACGCATCCAGAGACGAGCAACCAAGCTGGTGTCAGGTATCAGGAACCTGCCATATCCTCAGCGTCTCCAGAAACTCAAGTTACCTTCGCTCTACTACAGAAGACGGCGCGGAGACATGCTGACGATCTGCCAGCTGCTACACGCGGGAGTCGACCTGAACCCTGATGACTTTTTGGCGAGGAGCTCAATGACTACAACTCGAGGGCACGGCTGGAAGCTGGCGAAACCTCAAGCAGCGTCTCGTGTGCGGAGGAACGCACTCTGCGTACGAGCCATCAATGACTGGAACGCCCTTCCTCGTCATGTGGTCCTCGCTGAGACCCTAACCCAGTTCAAATCCCGACTCGACCAGCACTGGCAGACCATCCATTACTCAGTGCCAACCCAAGATTTAACCTAGTGTATCCAGAACCTACTCGACGAGATCGGGACCTTCAGGCGTAGTGCCTTTCTAAATCCCGATAAGTGTAGGTAAGGTAGGTAAGGTAAGGTAACTTGTGGGTCAAGTCAGCAGAACTTGATAAATGAGTATGACATCACCTCTACACCTGTCGCCTCCTGTATTGTAGTGATGGCAGGTTCAATGCTGAGTCTCAGAATAACAGCCAGCGAGCATATACTGTTGTTTTGTATTTCTATGCCCGATCGGCCCTAATGTGTAATGTCTTGCATTTCTAAATATTGAACTGTAATGAATGAGATGCTGTAATGAGGTAGGTACTGTAATGAAAAGACTGCCTCAGACTGCAAGGTTCTATTTAACCAAATATGACTGCATGTCTGCTACAGAATGAAACACTGACAAACACTGACACTGACATCAGTCATCAGGCACTGACAAAGTGAATGCACAAGAACGATAAGCAGGTAAATGCTCACTTATTGTTCAATGCAATGGTCACTTACGGATCACATGTTAGACCAGAGATGCGATGCCGAGGCCGTAGGCGGCACTTCTTGCAGGATTTTGGGGACGCTAAAACATTTTGTTAGGATCCTGAACCGTTAACATGGCTCGGTTTCGGTCCACAATTCTGGATTATCTGTTTTTGAAGTTATCTGTGTTTCGCCAAGCAGAATCCGACCTCTCCCATCACCATGAATGTCTGGCTATTCAATTGCCTGCCTGAACAGATTGATCTGTGTTCACAGCATCGACAAGAGCTCATGAGGCTGGCCAAGCAGATGGTGTACGCAGTACGCACCATCGGAGCGTGGCCTCGCGGAGGCCATGGAGACGCTGCAGGGTCGGTGGGGTGCCCTCTACCCGCGGTTCATCGCCTACCAGCAGGCGCTGTTTGATCGGCGGCAGGAGTGGGCCCTGTGCTTCAGGGCTGGCCTCCCGACACGGGGCCACAACACAAATAATACCGTGGAGGCTGCCATGAGGGTTCTCAAGGACAACGTCCTCCACCGGTAAATCTTAAGACATTCTAGCGCAAATTAAGTAAGGCATCTATCCACTATCAGTTATCACCTTCCCCTCTCTCGAAAATAGTTGATTCGGCTCAATGCTAGCGTATGAAACAAACTTAAACTTATCAATCATTTACCTACTTATCTCGTTTGCTGACTGCCCTGTCCCGTCTGTCGCCTTTACCTTGCTATCTGCCGATCGATTGCTAGTCTTCACCGGGGAAGGGGGGGGGGGGTGCATCACTTCTGTGTCATGAAGGGTATATGGATGTGCTATGCTGTACGTGCGTGCATGCGTTTGTGATTTGTTGTTTGGGGTTTTAGGGCGCGTCAACTGCGAGGTCATTTTGCGCTGTGTGTGTGTGTGTGTGTGTGTGTGTGTGTGTGTGTGTGTGTGTGTGTGTGTGCGTGTGCGCGTGTGCGCGTGTGCGCGTGCGCGCGTGCGCGTGTGCATGTGCGTGTGCGTGTGCGTGCGCGTGCGCGTGTGTGTGTGTGTAATGTATGCGTGAGGGGGAGGGGGTCGTACCAAGTCACAAGTCCTGCATGTGAATTGACGATACATAACCAAGTTTATTGAAAGTCTTTTTCACTCAAGTCATATTACTCAGTCATTTTTCAATAAACTTGAGTTATTTATCATCAATTCACACCCGTCATGGATTCTCTACCTCCTGTATGCACCGTCGAGGGTGGCAAAAAGTCCGTAACGGCGAGGGTGATTTTGTGTCTTTCCCAGGACTCGGCTCTAGGACGTCCTCCAGCTCCACGACGTAGTCAGCCTCAGACTGAGCGACTTCTACGAGCGAAAGCTCGTAAGCTTCGCCAGTGGACGGCGACCACCGGCTGCCCGTCAGGGAGGCTCCCGAAGCAGCGCTGTGAGCGTCCCACGGGACCGCATCACTCCCGACGGGGTGAGATATCGTCGTGGATGGACTACGTTATGGTCTCACATGTTCCGTCTCGCGCTGCTGCGGTCTCACGACAGCTTTACTGCTACTGCAAAAGTGGAATTGAATACCATCGCTTAACAGGTTATGAAAATGATGCTGTTTTGCCAGCTCTACACTCACACACACACAATTTTCTTATTCACTCGGACAAGTGACAGTTCACAGTCTCGGCGTTTTTTCTACCAGTAGGTACTTAAATCAACACCCTTACATTCTGCGCTAGTCATTCAAATCAAACAGAGTTTTCGCCACAAACAGCTCTGCCTCTGCCTAACGAAAGGACAATGACTGATTGGTGCGTATCGTCGTTTTGTATTCCTGCAGGAGAACCCGGGCATCTACAGCGTGCTGTCCACAGACGGCAGCACCCTGTACACCGTGGACAGCACCCTGGACATGTGCACCTGTCCGGGGTATGTCGGGGGCGGCAGGTGTAAGCACCTTGACGCCGTCAAGGCCCTCGACAGCGGCACGGCCGATGACTCTGCAACTGCAGACACTGCGAGCGTCGAGGACAGGAAGCTGATGTACTTCGTGGCGACAGGTGAGTCAATTGCCTGGCACAGCGAATCGTAATCTCAATAGATCGCATAAATTGATTTCTGTGTTCGTGAGGTCAGTTCGAGGTCTGGCAACTGGCCAGTTACGTGATCTCATCACTGTAAGCAAAAGAGTCATATTGAAACCCCGATTTCCGTCTTAACAGGGATATCATTGTCATCCATATAAACCCTAGATTACTAAAACACGAAATTGCAGGTCACCGATACGCTTCGAGGCTGGAGTATCGCTAAAATATGGCGTCATTTGTTAAGTTAAAAGTGTCGTCACCCACCTATCGCGAAAGGCATCTCCAGTGTATTTAAAAAAATTGATAACATATCCCAATCGAATGACATACAATGTGACCTTTCAGTCTCCCTAGCCTGACCTGGCACAACATGACTCGATAAAAATAATAAACACCATGTTATTTTACCATGTACATCTTGTCAAACCAACACACGGTGACGCAGGTACTATTTTTTTTTTTTTTATCAAATCAGGGCACGGTCAAAAATGAACCATTTCGATAAACTATTGTTTCTTGCAATGTCTACATTAACAAGCTACAACCACTGGTTTTGTTTCAGGTCGACAAGATATGTCTCCCGACTGGTTTGCGGACCTGAGGACTCCCGGTCCGGAACCAGCGCTGCGCCCAACCACCGTCGCAGAAGACGCTGCCCCGTCCCCAGAGCCCGCCGATGGTGGAGGAGCATCAGACAGCGGCGACGATTTCACCAGTCGCCCGCTAGTGGCACTGGCCAGCTCGTCTAGAGTAACGGCTCCCGACCCACTTGAAGAGGTGCGCCAGTCACTGGCAGCCTTCTCCGAGGCGGTCTCTGCAGCGGTCCTGGAGGACACCGCTGCGCACCCGGACCAGGGACCGTCTTGGCAGAAACAGGCTGCGGAGTCGGAGTCGGAGTCGGAGTCGGTCGGAGTCGACAGTTGTGACTGGAGTCGGAGTCGGAGTCGGAGTCGATTTTAGAAACCCGAGCCGGAGTCGGAGTCGGAGTCACCGAAAATCTGTCGACTCCGCAGCGCTGCTAGGTCTGCGGAGTCGGAGTCGGGAGTTGGAGTCGGTTGGACTCGACAATTCTGCCCGGAGTCGGAGTCGGAGTCGGAGCTGGTTTTTGAAAGCCGGAGTCGGAGTCGGAGTCGGAGTCGCCGAAAATCCATCGACTCCGCAGCCCTGGGCAGAAGGCATTGAACGCTTTCGTCGCCGACTGGAGGAAAGGCGCGACGCCCACAGCTCGGCAGAGCCAGCTGTACGCCCAACGCCACCTGGGAAAGGCGCGCTACGCCACCACCATCCCGGTGCTGCGTCCGGAGCGTCGGACCAGCTGTCCCCTCCGAGGCCGCGCCCGAGTCAGCGCTGGGCGACCTCCCAAGGCAGACCGCGCTGACCACCCCTACCAGCGAGCGGAGGGCCAGCGGCGAGCTGCAGCGCCACACAGCCTGCAGACTCGGATCGAGACCAACCGCGGTCCGGGTCACTAGTTCTGCCACTAGTAGACTCTCACTGGGCGCGAGGAGCGTGACGTCAAGGCCATAAGCATACAGGTTAGTCGAGGTTGGCGTCACCATTGCGACACTAGATTTTGGAATATACTATTTTCTTTCTTGGTCCTAAACCAGAAAGTACATCAAAGTTCGTTTTTGAAATGTTTTAGTAGCTGTTACCCGTTAAAAATAACGTGAAAATACGAAATGTTTGTGTTTTATATCATACTTATGCATCACCCACCCCATAAAGTCATCAATAGCATGATTTATTGTGACCTGAATAAAACACCAGTTTTCCCATAGCATCCCATGCTAGAGCCGGCTCCGCGTCGCAATGCTGACGTCACAGCAGACGATGCCACTGAACTTTCGTGCGTGCGACTTGTCTGTCGGAGCAGCATGTGCGACAATGTGGTCTGGCTGGGGTGACTTCCCACCAGGTGCAGCGGCTCGTGCCCTGGCCGCCGGCTAGTGAACAGAGACCCCTGTGCGGTTCCCACGATATAGCGCTTGGTTTCGTAGGTGGGGCTTGTAGGCTAATGATGGGCACGACCGGGTGCTGTATGCTATATGTGGTGACAGCGGCGTTCCTGAGCGTAGGGTGTGTCTCTTGCTCTGAAGTCCAGAAGTCCTTATCGTTCTTGTGCATTCACTTTGTCGGTGCCTGATGTCAGTGTCAGTGTTTGTCAGTGTTTCATTCTGTAGCAGACATGCAGTCATATTTGGTTAAATAGAACCTTGCAGTCTGAGGCAGTCTTTTCATTACAGTACCTCATTACAGCGTCTCATTCATTACAGTTCAATATTTAGAAATGCAAGACATTACACATTAGGGCTGATCGGGCATAGAAATACAAAACAACAGTATACGCTCGCTGGCTATTATTCTGAGACTCAGCATTGAACCTGCCATCACTACAATACAGGATGCGACAGGTGTAGAGGTGATGTCATACTCATTTATCAAGTTCTGCTGACTTGACCCACAAGTTGACTCCAATATAAATATTGTCTCTTTATCATGAAACAGACTCAGAAACCTTGGCATGGATGCTCTCAGGCTCTCAAGAGAATGTTGAAATTCAGGTCTCAAAAGATTAAAATTACAATAATGAAATGTTTCACCCAGACATGTGCACGGATCCCAGACAACCAATCACGGAAATCGAGATGGCCATTAGATTGACGGTCTTCAAGCATGAAATTATGGTGGAAAACATGGCTCATAGAAGCCTCTCAATGAACCAACTATTTTGCATTCCTTCAGGGTTAACAGTTCTGAGAAAATCCCTCAAGATCCATTTCGGATCCATGATTCGTGGCCATGGATCCGAGATGGATCTTGAGGGAATTTCTCAAAACTGTGAACTCTGAGGGAATGCAAAATAGTTGGTTCGTTGAGAGGCATCTATTAGCCATGTTTTCCACCATAATTCCATGCTTAAAGTCCACTAATCTAGTGGCCATCTTGATTTTCGCGTCTGGTCGTCTGGGATCCGTGCCCATGTCTGGTTTCACCTACCTTCCAAGCCATAAACACTCATACTGGTACTGGATGGAACTTAAAATAAAAAACAGGGGTGGATAATTAGGGGTTTGTAGCACCCCCTGGGATTTTCAGAAATCTCTACCAGTGAATAAAAAGGTTAATCATCAAAATATTATCACAATCATCCAGCAACACAGGGTATTTACAGCAACGCAGCCCAATACCACAGACAGCCTATAAACAAGCAGTGATGGAGGCGTGTTCAAAAAGTTAATATGCAGCTGTCGACACTAAATAGTCAGTGATTTTCCGTTAGAAATTTTGCGCAAACATCATCTGTATGGGCCTTCGAACAGAACCACCACAATTGAAACAAAAGCGCCAAAAAACTGGAATGTTTGTTTTTTTCGCTCGGGAAAGATATATACGCGCGTGCGTTAGGCTCCGCCCATAGCTCCGCCCACATGCGTGACGTCATTCGTGTTAGTGGACACACGCGGAGATAGGGGACGACATGGGCCTGCTCAAGCGCTTGACAACGCTTGACAGCGAAATAAAAAAGGTTTTTTGAAAGGTTAACTGTGCGCCACATTAAGTAACATTTAGCGCTTTTCCTATCAAAGGTCTATTCGTTGCCACGGTAAATGACGTAGCGAATAATATAATCCTTTTAACCCTTTTAACAACTTTTCCCTGACATACTGAAAGTGTTTACTATTTAAAAAATAGACGATTGTGATCGTTTGCTATTTTGATGATTGTTTGTATGATAAAAAATCAAAAATATCCACCATAATTTATTATATGTCATAATATCTGTGGATGACCAACGGTCAGTACGAACAAAGCACGAAGGCTTCCTTGATCAAAATTCATATTTGTAAGCTTGATTCGTTTCATGATGGTATATAATTCGTTTATAGCATTGGTTTGACTACGTGAATTGTGCGGAATCCAGTTCCAATTCCACAAACTGAAATACAGTTCTGTATATCAATATACCGTGATAAACATGGGATCGGTTGTCGCTCGCGCACGATAGGAGGGGAGCCATAAATGTTTCCAGTACCCCCCAAAGACGTTTCAATTTTTCAACAAAAAACTGTTAATTTTGATTTATTATCAATTATTTTGCATTTTATTATCCTGATAAAAAGTCGTAGCTTTCTTTTTTTGGAAATAATATTAATTTGAATCATTTTTGGACTCTGGCAAGTGGTACTACGACAAGATTCTTACAGATATGCTACAAGAGGACTGTTGCGTCAATTGCCTTAAAGTGACCCCCCCCCCCCCCCTCCCCGACCAGCCAGCAAAATTAGTATTGGCCATAGCTGGTTTTACTTTGGCTAGCTTCAGTACTTTACTCTGGCTGAAGTACGGGCAGGGTCTGGAGCTCTACGGGAGCTGTCACACGATCCCAGAGTTTGCCCGCACTGCAGCTGGACTTATGCCGCATTGCTTCAGCCGTGTGATAGCTCAACTGTACTTCAGCTACAGTAAGCCAGAGCAGCCAAGAGACAGTTGGACCTGGCAGTAGCAATGCTGTGGCAGGGAGGCGGACTTGGCAGTCTGAAGCCATACCAACTCTGGAGCGCTAATGGCAAAGAGTGGCTAGCTGGAGTAGAGCCATATCAACCCAACCCCCTTGTTCCGCTGGCATTCCTTTTTCACCGGCCCAAATCTGGCATGTCAGAGTTGCCTGGGCAAAACAGACTTGAGCGAAACCAAATTGCTGGCTGCATCCCCCCCCCCTTAGGTTGAAAGAAACTAAGGCTGAATTTTAATGGGGCAGTGTATTCACCACACAGTTGCTCATGTAATTTAGTAGTTCAAATAAAGATCATACATTCTCATAAATGTTGGGATGACTCTGTAAGTCTGGAACCTTTATTTGTGTCTACCAATTTTAAAAGGTTTGTCATTCATTTATTTTGGAAATAATGAGATTTCTATCCCTAATTTTTAGTCAAAAGTTTTAATAGATGCTCCCTGTGGTTGCAGTCCTGCACATGGTATATTTCATTCATGTATTATTTGCAGGTGACTGGAACAGCTCACAGTGTCCAGTTGTCACTGTGAGTTAGTGTGCCTGGCACAAGGCAGAACTGTCGGCCCAATGGAAGGGAGGGTATCCCACAGGCGGCCGTCCACCTCCAGACGAGCTAGCAAGTCAGGCAGCATTCTTGCCAGGATATTGCTCTGTGATGAAGGACCTGCTAAGCGAATGGTCTACAAGAGACCACCTTTATCCAACCCAGACCCTGAGTGGTTCCCAGACGAAGACAGCCCTCGGCAGTTACGCCCAAAGAAGCGCCCTAAACCCAAAAAGGTGAAACTGAAAAAGAAAGCCACTGCCCCATCCCCACTGCCAACAAGAGTCAATCCTAAACGAAAACCCGGACCGAAGTCTAAGACTGCCAATGCACGGCGCGACAAGCTGGAGGAGGCGGTGGCCGAGCGGCTGCTGCTGGAGGCGGAGCGGGCGGCGGCAGCGCGCCGGCGCCGGCCGGTGGCGGGGCCGCCCAGCCGGCCGAGGAGCTCCGAGACGCCGGCCGACAGCGAGACGCCCTCGCCGGCGGGCTCTCAGCAGAGACAGGGCCTCGCCGAGGCCAAAGACGAGCCGGCAGAGGACGCCGAGCAGGAGGCGGCAGAGGCCGAGCAGGAGGCGCCAGAGGACGCCAATGATGTGGTGGAAGCCGAGCAGGCGGGGGAGGTCGAGCAGGAGACTGCGGAGGACGAGCAGGAGAGTGCGGAGGAAGCCGAGCAGGAAGCGGAGGCGGCCATGGACCAGCGGCAGCCGCGGCGGGAGAATCTGGAGCATCTTCAGCAAGAGTCAGACGGCGAGGGACCGGGGTCGGAAACGTTTGACAACGACCCAACGTCAGCATCGGAGCCAGCAGTGAATGGTGAGCGCTGTCAGCCCCAGAGGACGCATAAGTACACCCGCCGACGCGAGCAATTTGCTGCCGCCGCCAGTTCCGACAGCGACACTGACGACGAGACTGGACCGGGTCGACGGAGAGCGAGAGAGGCCAACTCGAGCGAATCCCGTGCCCGCGGCGTTGTCAGAACCCACGGGTCGGCGGCGGTGCGGAAAGCCGGACCCCGCTCGGTCGACCACAGACCGGGCGGCTCGGCACGGACGGTGACGGTCGCGGAGCCCGGCAAGGTCGACCCGGGCCAGGTCAAAGACGGGGCCGACCCGGACGAGGTGCTGTTCGGCGAGGCCACCGCGGGCGAGGGACAACTGGCGTCTTCAATGATGCCGACAATCACTAAGAGTAAGTGGTTCGAAGGCCATAAGCTGCGCACCAGGCAATGACGATAAATAGTTCGATATTTGGTTCATTCCTGAACAAAAGGCATATTCATGTGTTCCGTGTCATGGTAGGTTATGTGGTGGTCAGGTTCGCAGTACTTCATAAATCGAGAGTATTTTTAACAAAAATAATGTGTGCTTTACAGCGTCTCCTTCTCTTCATATATTCATCCGTACGTCGTGGTTGCAGCTTCCATAATTTTGCCTTATTTGCCGTACATTTGTTGCTGTATTTGCTCCTGTCCGCCCATTGCTTCAGTTGGAATCACGTTTGGCCCCTGCCTTTTAACGTTTTCCCGTCTATAATTAGGTGTACAGTTGCACGAGCTGATATTTGTACTCCGATTGTCTGGTGTGCCCGCAGAGGGGATGCGGTGCATACCGCGGATGCGGCACCTGCTGTTCCAGTCGCGCCTGGTGCACCGTGCCGCCGCCGAGTACCTGGAGCTGCTGCCGCCGCCGGAGCCCGACCAGTCGGCCGACTGCGTGCCGGCCGGCAGCCGCGGCCGCCGCCTGCTGGTGCTGCGCCAGTCCCGGCCGGCCAGCCTGGCCGACAAGGTGCAGGACGACCGGCCCGCGGCGCGCCAGACCGTGCTGCCGCCGGCCAGCATGCCGCAGGCGCTGCGCGTCATCCACGAGCTGCGCGTGCAGAACCTGCACCTGCAGGCGGCCCTGCTGCGCGCCGGTATCGAGCCGCTGCGCCCCGCGCCCGAGACCCAGGCCGAGCCGGGCCAGCTGCCGCGGCTCCGCCCCGGCCGCGGCTCGCACAAGGAGCTCGCCATGGTGGCCGCCACCCGTCTGCGCCACCTAGAGCGGCTCGAGGCGGGCATGGAGCGCGTGTTCAGCACCGCCCAGATCGGCATCATCTGCGGCGAGGATAACCGCGCCGTGAAAAAGTGGTCCGAGAAGGACCTGTGGCGGGCCATCGAGCTGCGCACCATGTGCTCGCGAAAGGTGTTTGACTACGTGCGCGGCTCGCTTGGTGTGCCGCTGCCGTGCGTGGCCACGCTGCACCTGCGCTGCAAGGGCCACCCGGAGCTGGAGGCGGCGCTGGAGCGGGCCGTGGGTGCGCCGGCGCCGCGCTGTCCCACCTGCCGCCGCAACCGCGACGACGCCGCCACAGAGGAGGAGCGCCGGCAGTACGAGCCGCGGCCGCGGCCGCCCAAACGGCGCCACAAGGAGGACGGCGCCGCCGCCAGGAGGAAGAAGGCCCGACTGCAGGTGGCGCGGCGGACGGGCCGGCCGGTCGGCAGCGGCGTCCAGGTGCCCTCCGACGGCAAACTCATCAGCTGGAAGCCGATCGAGCCGCCGTCGCCGCGGTTCGCCGGACCGACGGCGCACTGGAGCACGGTGAATGCCGAGGATCAGTCCGCGTCGGACGGCGACGACCAGAGCGACGGCGAGTACTCGGACGAGCGGTACGCCAAGTACCGCGACAGGGTCGTCCAGGAGCCACTGTGGATGTAACCACCCCTGAGCTCGTGGATCCTGTCAATTGTCACATGCCGTACAGACCGTAATCGTTTTGCTGCATGTCGTGTAGAAAGCGGACGCCTTTCAGTGTAAGTATGGTCGCCTGCGGGCTTTTCATACCAGACATTTTGCGTGCCTGGTTGGATGCAGCCAAGCTCCTGTTGATTCATTTGATGGCCAAGTAAGTGGGCCAATATAACAAATACATTGTTCACCAACACATAAAGCATGCCTTTCGCCTCGTATGTTGTGCAAGAGCTTCACTAAATCAGACGCGTCCGTGCGAGTGGAAGTGAGTTCCAGTTATCGCGTCTCAGATGAACCTAACGATGAGCGTGTATTGTATGGCTTATTCAACCTTCGAAGCTAGTTCAGAGATCCGAGTTTTGGGGGCGATCTTCATTAGTCGGAGATCCGCGTCACCGCGGCGTCATCCACCGGTGGCCAGCCGACTTGACTCACTCATGAGCGACGGATGGATGCGGGACAAAATCCCGATATGGGATTCAGAATTATCAGTTGGCGGAAAAAAAATCGAAGGAGCTTGAGCACTTCACCACTGCCGAGACCAGCTCTACAAGAGACAAGTCGCAATTAAGCATCTTTCCGTCGTTGCCAATTTGCAAGAGCGTCGCATGACTAAATTTCATATTGAACTCTCGTCCTACTAGAGCACTCTGGCATCACGATGACTCGCTTTAGACTTGCCACTCAGCTCGGCTGTCACGCCCCCATACCGTGCTCGGTTTCCCACCACCCCGCGACTTGTGGGCCCGGCCGTGTGTTGGGCCCATCCCTTCCCCATCCAGGTGGTCCACTATTCGCTCCGCCCGGTCCTGTCCCCGGCTCTACTGTGTACCCTCTCGGCTCGGACCGCTGCCATCTTGTAACCGAGTTTCCACTCCACCCAGTCCCGAGTCAGTCAGAGTTCGGTCGCCGTTTTTTATCAGCACGTTATCTATTTTTCCCATATTAGGAACAGGAAGCTATTGCTGGCGTTTCTTGGCCTCTCATTGATCAAATGTATAAACTACGTGAATCTGACCAATGAGGAGCCAAGAAACAGCAACTGCGACCGAACAACACCCGGGCAAGTGTCCACTCCGCCCGCTTCTATCACACTGTCTCCGTCCCAGCCCCGCAGTCCCGTACCGCCCCACTCCGCCCGCTTCTATCACACTGTCTCCGTCTCAGCCCCGCAGTTCCGTACCGCCCCACTCCGCCCGCTTCTATCACACTGTCTCCGTCTCAGCCCCGCAGTTCCGTACCGCCCCACTCCGCCCGCTTCTATCACACTGTCTCCGTCTCAGCCCCGCGGTTCCGTACCGCCCCACTCCGCCCGCTTCTATCACACTGTCTCCGTCTCAGCCCCGCGGTTCCGTACCGCCCCACTCTGACCCGGTCCGCCGCGGCTCGCCGTGCCGCTGCCCCCTCCTCCTCCAATATGTACTGGCGCGTCTCCGCACTTGATGCTCCGTCCCATTCTCACCGTGCAGCCTGCTGTCACGACCCGCATCGATCTCAACCACGCAGGTCGAAACAGTGAGTGACTGCTCTGCTCAGTGACTGCTCCCCGTGCCCTGCCCCCCCCCCCCCCTCAGTGCCACATTTCCCACGCCGCCCGCTCCGTTAGCTTGCTCCGCCCCGCTCCCAACCCCTTCCGTCTCCGCTGTCCCAACCCAACCCCGTATCTCGTCCGCCCCTCCGTTCAACACTCGGGCGGATTGACACAGCGTCGGTCGTGTATTGGTAGGGAGTGTCTAGGCCTGCGGCGGCGGCACGGGCACCGGCTCGACGGGCTTCTCCTTGGTCTCCGAGTAGGGCTCCTTGGGCAGCTCCTCCTCCTTGGGCTCCACGATCGTCACGTGGTCGGGCAGCGGCTTCTTGGGGCCGATCTTGCCCGTCTGGTCCCACGGCAGCATAATCTTCACCTTGATACCGAGCACGCCTGCAACGGAGCAAAACAGCGGTCAGCAAACCCAACGAAGCGCGGTACAGTGTCGAACACACCACTACGCGAGAACGCTGACAGACACTGATATTTCCAGCGATTGTTTTCAATATCTTACTATTGAAAGAAATTAGCACGCAAAACATTTGACGGCAGCAAAATGTTGAACGCAATTATGGCGCGCGAATGACAAAACATGGCGATATCTAAATAGGGTAGGGTGGGGTAATTTGAACATGTGGGGCAATTTGAACATAGTGTGAAAAACACAAAATTACGGAAAATCCATAAGTGGCATGACAATAAGACCAATGAGGGAAATTATCGAACAAAAAGGGCTATCATATGAACGGGGTTTAAAGTTTCAGGGAATGAAGATGTTGACGCACACTGTAAAAAAAATCAATTTCGCAAGTAAAAACGCCTAAAAACACGTCATTGCAACTTCATTGCAGCGCAAAATCTTGCATTGCTAGCGCCTAATACGCAACGGCTTTTGTTGTACAATGACCTAATCAGTGCCTTCAATCCAAGAAATTTGCTTTTGAAACCTGTTTTTAAATATGGCAAAATAATTTTAGCGTGGGGTAATTTGAACATAGTGTAAGAATTTCAGTGAAGACAGGGATAGCTCCGAAAAAAACAACGCTCCCAGATTTTTTTTTGCCAATATTTTCGACCCAAAGCAGTAGCAGATTAGTGATGCCAGTTTTATAAAATTTGCGTCTAATATCCGTCTAATAGGTATCCGGCATTTTCGTTAATTTCCGTTCAAAAATGTTACAAGTCATCCATTTGTCCAAATATGTCCGAAAATTACGCATTAATCAACACCCAAAACTGTCATTTAAATTCCTTATAATGTAATTTTACCAGCCGAAAAGTGTTCATTATATTGAGAGCTTAACAAGCTTTCCATTCGCCAATCAATGCTATGCACGATTACTTTATAAAAAGCGCTGAAGTGTAGCAAGCCATCGTCCAATGTTGTCCACTCTGCTACCTTTGTCCAACCAATTCCGAATTGGACATTGGACAAAATCAGAACTCTAAATGTCCAGGTTTCGATTGGCACCACTATAACAGATGCAATAAGGTTGGGAGTTTTTATCGAACAAAAATGATAGGCGTTCTGTTAATTGAAGAGAGGCGAATTCTGTCAACTGACCGGTGTGCAGCGTGCAGATATTGATACTCTGCAATTGTTATTTTTGTTGTTGTGTTGATTTTTCAAGTGAAGGTATGTTTAGAATTGTTCTGCCTATTTGCTTATGGGTCAAACAACATCGGTACTGGCGAGACTATCGTTTTTATGACAGGTAAAGGCAGTATGTTCAAATTACCCCACGGTGGGGCAATTTGAACACACCGTGACTTGGTGGAGAAGTGAGGCTATGCTATTCAAGGTATGCTCGGCTCGTCCAAAAATGAGGCTTGCATGGTGAAAGCAAGTGACACTTGCGCTACTGAAGCAGTTTTTCTTCATCCAGGGTTGAGCTGGAATTTGGTACAACGGAGAAGACGTAAAAAATATGTTCAAATTACCCCACACAACCCTATTGAATATCTTGCTTCATAGGGAATGTTGTAAGTAAAAATAAGCATAGAACGATTCAGCATGGCATGTTTGTTCGAAATGATCGAACGTTGTGCAATAATGTTTTGCATTATTGCACAAAAAGTAACGAAATTCCGAACGTCAGGACCACTGGAGCTTTGGGTTTGTAATTACAATGTTTTATTTCGTGTTTTTGGTCTTCGTGAAACAGAAAGTTTGTGACTTCAATGTTTTTTACAAACTTTTTCTTGTCAAGTTTGTAAATTGTCAACTCAAAATTCATACACGGAGGTTTCGTCAAATCCAGATCTCAAATGTTGGTAATTATTTCTTGTAAACTCAAGTTTTTTTGTAATTACAAACTTTGTTAGTGAAACAGGTCTCTGGTCACAGGTCAGGTCACCAGAGGTCAGCAAAGATACAATCTAACCCATTTCAACGTTTTTCGACAAACCGGCGTGTAACTCGGTAACCAATAGAGCTACAGCGCCACTGAAAAGCGCATTCGATCGATCTTTTGACGCCCTTTCGCTAGCATGTCCTCAGATTTCACCTCATATCAACGGTTTAGCCGTAAGGGGACAAAAACTCTAAAAATAGCCGTTTTCAAGAAAAAAAAATCCAAGGCTTGGTGTTTCATTTTTCAAATGAGCAAACATAAACAAACTGTTCACGAACAAGTGACGTCATCGGCCGAATTTTAGTGAACGTACAGCGAACAGCTCACGAACATCCATGAGCTGTTCGCTAACATGTTGAAAAGGGGTTGGATAAGATCACCTACCTAACCGTTTCGCTCCTAATTGAGCTAGAACCTCGCAGAATTAGGGAGCGTGTATATCGTAACGTCGTTACGAGATACATTACTAACTGGTATTCAATTTTAAAGTCTGAGCCAACCAGTGACTCAGGTCAGGTGTCCAGGTCAAAGCTATTCGGGTCACAAAACTACTTAGTCACACTGCATACCATTCGGTGTGACAGTTCTTTCTGAGTCAATTGATGGTTCAACCAACTCGCCAGCTCAATTTGTTCGGGAGTTATCAGCGAAAAGCTCGGACTGCAATCAACAACCTTATTGGACATCTTATATGACGTCATGCAAGGTCTGAAATGCTCAATTCAATTCAAGCCTCAGCGTTGCAAGGATCATTGCAAATCATGAGGCCATGTGCTTGAGATTAGTATTGGCGCATTTTCACACTTAACCCGCGCCCTGATGGGGGGGCCATTTTGCCCCCCCCCCCCTGTGGTTTTTCTTAAATAGCAAGAAAACGGCGGTGCGCAGCGCCGCCAAATTTTGGGTACCTTACCGAGCATCAATTTGACACCTTCACACAAAATTTCAAGTCACAGGTCACCTCGGGTCAGGAGTTATTGAGGTCAAACTGAGGTCATGTTCGAGTAAAAATGAGCAAAAAACATGACATCTTGAAACGCTCACCAATTCTACAGTTAACAAGCAATTTTAAAGTTCTTTATGTGGCTGTGTAGAGAAAAGACGGCACTACAAAACTGCTATCTCGGATTTTGGAAATTTTGGGATTTTAACCCTCCGAAATAAAAATAATTTTTTTTTAGAAAAACTCAAAAATTTTCCCAAAAAAATCGAATTTCGAAAAAACGGAATATATGTGATAGTCCCTTCGCTCTTCGATATACATACAAAGTTTCAGATCGATACCTGATCGATACCTCTTTTTTTCCTTCAGCAAAACATATTCTGAACTGACCCCAAGGGCTGCCTGTCCCACATAATCGCATTTGGCATATAAAATGGACCATAAAACATGCATCACATGATATTTTTAATTTGTGGCCCTCAGCGACCTGACCTCTGTGACCTGACCTGGTATCAGTGACCTCAAATAGCAGAATATGTGTTTGGCGAACATTTCCCCATCGATAATTTTCAATGAAATGCATTTTACTCGATTTAACAACGCATTTCCTGAAATGCCTGTAAACGGTGAAAATTCGACCTTTGACCTGACCTATGACGTCATCGGTTTGACCTAGGTCAACGAAATTCGGTCACAAGGTAGTTCCCCGTTGGGGCTATCCAACGCCGTTTGCCGCTTGTCGCTATGTTGCGTGGTTCTCGAGATCCTAGGGGGCCAAAATGCCCCCCCCCCCCCCATCAGACCGCGTTGCTCGGCAGACCCCATCAGGGCGCGGGATAAAACATGCCGGCAACAGTGTGTGTCACTGTATGAGAATAATACCGCGAAAGGTATCAAAAATGATAGCGTGTTAATGAACGTTCATGAACTGTTCGTGAACAGAGCACTGTTCGTGAACATGTGACCTTGAATGAAGGAATTCGTTAACTATCAAATAAGCACAACAAGCAAACAAACGTTGTTCACGAACTGTTCATGAACAAATATACAAACACCAAACCCCGCGAAAAAAGTGTTTTTCAGTAACAACTTTTGACTGAAGAAAGGCAGGAGTTTCATTTTGCAAGCATCGTGATCTTATCATCATTAACTAAGTTGATCCTTAGAGGTTATTTTGTAAATTTGACCTAGGGTCAATGTAATGACCTGACCGGAAAAGGTAATGTTGCGTATCAATCGATTCGTAACGTCGTCCTGAACAATTTAAGCTATCAAATGTTATTGCAAAAAACAAACTGTTGGGGACCTTCCATGACCCGAGATGACCTCAGGGACATAAGGAGGGGTCACGGGTGCAATTTTCTGGTTCAGTACCTATGCCAATAAAGCCTGTTTGCCTGGGTTAGAAGGGTGTTTAGAATGACGTTCGTCCAAAAGGCGCCTTTGAATTTTTTACCATCGACTTATAACGGAGACGGCGCAATATTGACGTGACCTTGGATCACCAATATCAAGATTCTCGGAGATATATCTTCAGCATACTGTTACTCTTATCTTTTATCAATCGCTAACAGTTTCACGGCCATCGCTCAGCCGGTGTAGCTATGATAAGCATTCCTAACTTTTTCTGAAGTGAGGTCACTTAACGTGACCTGGTGTAGATACCTAGGCCTGAAATTTTCACATGTGCAGAAAGGATGAACGAGCACAGAACAGTTGTGCCGTTTTAGATGTCTGCAAAAAGGGCAGGGGGTCCAAACACCCCCCCCCCCCGCGCGGGATAAGGCACATCACGAAGCGCAAAGCCCCTTCTGCCCTCCGCTGGCTGACACGGCACCGGTTCCCGGCAGTCCATTCCCCGGTGGTCGTTACTCGTTACAACTGCGACAGACGTTAGGTAATGCGGTTCATAGCCCATTAACTCTAAGGATCTGATGGAGGATAAAATCGGAGGCAGTCTTCGTTGGCAAAAAAAAAAAAATGTCTCGCTGTTGGTAAATATGTTTCCCTTGATTAACTATTTCAAAACATTAAATCCAACAATTTTTAGAAGAAAAAAATAAAGCAAGACCTTTTTAAAGAAGCATGCTACGTTTCTCCACAACATAATTATTTTGAGGATATTGTTCAACACGCAACTAATAAAGCAAGCCAAAACAGAATCGCAAAGCGTTCTTGATAGAATTTCTTTTTTTTAGAGCTGACAGTGCCCATTAGTTGAATACAATGTAATCACGTCGTAATCTGGAAGCGCCCAATAGCAATATAGGCACTAGTGTGCTTAGTCATTGCCCACTCTGCGGCAGGGGGACGGTGGAGTGGGTCCCGGCCCGGCAGAGCCCGGCCTGCGGTCACGGGGCCGGCGGGGGCCGCAGCCGGCGGACCTCCCAGCGGCTCACCTTGCCGGAGCAGGACGTGGCGGCAGGCCTTGTCCACGTAGTCGTTGACCGGGTTACCCGAGTGGATCATCAGGCCCTCGCCGAACTTCATCGACTTGGCGCGCTGTCCGCGCAGCTTGCCGGAGACCACCACCTCGCAGCCCTTGGCGCCAGACTCCATGATGAAGCGCAGCACGCCGTAGCAGGCACGCCGCACGGCCAGGCCGCCCATGAGCTTGTAGTGGAGCGACTCTGCCTGGGCGATGGCGCAGAGGCCGCGCGTGGCCACCTTCTCGGCGTACAGCTCCAGAGAGCCGTCCGGGAAGCCGAACCGCTTCTGCACCACCGAGGTCAGCTCGCGGATCCGGCGGCCCTTCTCGCCTGAAAACAAACAACAGCACTGTGTCAACATTCCATAACACCCTTCTGATTGCAATGAGAATGCATGATTAACTGATTCATTGATTAATGGCTAAGGAATTGTCTCAGCAGGAACTTGCTTACAACAGTCAGAAAACTGTCAATTTACCAGACTAACCTTGATGAAAACTTACCATAAACAGCTTTAATTGGTGTTAGCTTTTTGTCATATTGATTTTTCTAAATGGTTTATCATAAGAATCATAAGTATCAGATATTTTTTTCATGTCAACTTTGAACTTCACTGCTAGTGATGCACACATGGGCATACCAGAATTAAAAAGGTTAGAGCTAACTTGTCATATTAATGCATATGGCATTATCTTTAAACAGTTTTACCAATTTAGCTAGTAGTCAGATAAATTGGTCAGGAATCCAACAGCACATCTGATTTGAGCTGTACTACAGTCTTTCCTTAATTTTTGCCCTGAAAACAGCAGTACACATGGGGATATGTTTCAATAATACAGACCAGATACCTTTTTCATATATATCTCAGTAATAATTGATGCACTCAAACATTTTAGTCTGTGTTGTTGCCACTGTTGCTTTTTTAAGTACCTACCTAATTCAGATCAAGGTGAAAAAAGGTTTAGTTATGGCATCTTGTTGCAATATCATGTTCTGCAAACATAAGCTAGAAATGCCAGACATCCATCCAAAGCGGTTTGTATGTGAACATTAGAAGATGTTAGCCATGAACTTCTTAAAAGCTGTTTACACTACAACTTGAAGCCAATACTATGGCTAAGCTTGCAAGATATCACAGATGGTTTAAAATGAAAACCAGGAAGTGTTTAAGGGTGACAGCTTGATTTACAATGAATTAAATTCACCTGAACATATATAGTAATAACACACATAAGGACACACTGATGACACCAGAGAAAGCAACTAAGTTCCCACCTAGGTGATCATGAAAAGTTTCAACAAGAGAAAAACAAACAAATGTATTGCTACCAAGCTTATTTGGTGGTATGTCTGAAGCTTCAATCAAACTACAAGAAAATGTTTGCTCAAAATGTGTGTCATTCTTGGAATATGTCTCACTTTCAAGGTACCATAGCTGCTAGTTTATTGTCTGAACAATAATGCATGCCATCACACATGGGATTGATACATGTTTCATAATCTATTTTCATTGTCTGTTTTACTTTTTTGGTTTTGACTGAAAAAGATAGCCAACTAAATGAACATTCAGATACCCAACTAAATGTCATTTAGAATTTATGTCACTGTTTCTACCGTATTTGGATTTTGACAGCATGTCCTGTTGATAGATCCCTGACTATCTTTTGCAGATGCCATAAATTAAATCTCTTCACATAACTGTCTTAGTATCTATTCTGGTAAATCCTTGCTGTACACAGGAAAACCACATTCTTTGTCAAACACACCGTGCTATAAAGAAGCATCACTGACATAAAATCAAACCATGCAAGAGAGAAAGCTTACTGCATTATTAATCCTTTGATCAGCATAAAGCATAGCAATCAATTTACTGAACATCAGCAAGTAAAACATTTATAATTGATTTGTCACAGACTTTCACCCATACTTTACTATGAAAGTTGTGTCAGGATGACACAAGGGCACCAACAACCCCACCAGCTCCACTCACCAAGAACGCTCTGGGTCCTGGTGGCCAGGATGATGATCTCCCGACGGCCCGGGGTCGCACGGACCTCCACACCGCTGTATCCATCCTCAGCCAGCTCACGAGTCAGAAACTCATTGAGCTCAGCCTCAAACACTCCCTTCTTCACAAACTGAAAAATGTGAATAACAGCATATGTTCACATCAAATAATGATTGTCTTTTTTTACCGCAAAATGCATTTACTGTTCATACTGCGACCTGAACGACACGCAACAGTGATTTTAACACGCATTACGTTGCATCAGGTCCACGCCATTTTTGCGATGATACCAGTATTATTTGGTTTATGCATTATAGCTTATAAAAAACAATAAATACCTTCTTTTTCGTTGACAGGTCCCTCGCCATGTTTGCGGTGTAAGGGGAAAGGTAGACACGCCGGCGCTGCCGTTTATCAAAGAAATAAAATATTTAGGCAGACAATTTATAAAAATGAGTTCGTTTATGTCTTAATTCAGACAAATTGAATGTCAAGAAGTGTTTGAAATTTATATTTTACTGTACAAAAGGACTTATATGTTCTGTTGTTCTCATCTTCCCTGCATTCAATGAGGCGAAAAATGTATTTTGGACAACAAGATTAAAGTTTTGTAGTTTCCGAATGCGTAAAAAAGTAGATAAGAATGATTTTTTGCTTCATCTTATTTTTTTCTCGACTTTTGTCCTTTGAAAAGATAAGATTTTATATTTTTGCTTCCGGTCTATTGATGTGATAATGGCGCGGGTGCGACATAATCTGCGCGGAATGAAATTGTGCCCAAGCTTGTGCTACGCGAATTTATGGAGTTCTATAGCCTTGGAATTTATTAGAGTTAGTGCACAGTTTGGCTCGGCTTTTATAATTATTAGTTGATTGGATTTTACTACAGTGATTGTGTGGGCCTATATTTTGCCAACACTGAATTGATTCGAGTGAAGTGGCGCGTAAACTAGGAAGTTCCTCGTGACCTCGTTTCAATTTGAATCCACCAAGCATCAGACATTTGTGAAGATGTCGTACAACTTCAAGAAAATCGTGGTTGTTCCCTCTTCGAAGGACTTCATCAACATAATACTGTCAAAAACGCAGAGGAAAACACCCACTGTGATCCACAAAGGGTACAAAATATCACGGATACGCCAGTTTTACATGCGAAAGATCCGATTCACACAGCAAAGCTTCCACGACAAGCTTCAGCAAATTCTGACAGACTTCCCCAAGCTGGAAGACATTCATCCTTTCTATGCTGATCTGATGAATGTTCTATATGACAAGGATCATTACAAACTGGCCTTGGGTCAAATAAACATGGCCATGCACATGATTGGAAATGTGTCAAGGGACTATGTTCGACTGATGAAGTACGGTGATTCACTGTACCGCTGCAAGCAATTAAAGAAGGCTGCACTTGGCCGCATGGCAACAATCATGAAGAGGCAGAACCAATCCCTGCAGTACCTGGAGCAGGTTAGGCAGCATTTGTCGAGGCTCCCTTCCATTGATCCAAACACAAGGACCATCCTCATCTGTGGGTTCCCTAATGTTGGAAAGTCCAGCTTCATCAACAAGATCACCCGGGCTGATGTGGAAGTGCAGCCATATGCTTTCACCACAAAGTCGCTATTTGTTGGTCACACTGACTACAAGTACCTCAGGTGGCAGGTGGTGGACACCCCTGGTATCCTGGACCACCCACTGGAGGACAGGAACACCATTGAGATGCAGGCCATCACAGCTCTGGCCCATCTGAGAGCTGCAGTCCTCTATGTGATGGACCCATCAGAGCAGTGTGGGCACACCCTGGATCAGCAGGTGCAGCTCTTTGAGAACATCTGCCCCCTGTTTGCCAACAAACCACTGATGGTGGTCTGCAACAAGTCTGATGTCATCACCATTGATGAGCTGTCTGATGAGAAGAAGGCTGCCTTGGAGCCACTGAAGAAGGAGGGCGTGCCCATCATGACCATGTCCACAGTCACAGAGGAGGGAGTCATGGATGTGAAAAAGGAGGCGTGTGAGCGGCTGCTGGCTCACCGTGTGGAGGTGAAGATCAAGACCAGAAAGGTGAACGACATCCTCAACCGCCTGCATCTGGCAGAGCCGGTGAAGCGTGACGACAAGGAGCGGCCGCCGTGCATCCCCGAGGCAGCCCGCAAGAAGCGCCAGGGTCTGGCCAGCAAGGAGAAGAGGAAGCTGGAGCGAGACATAGAGCTGGAGATGGACGAAGAGTACACCCTCGACCTGAAGAAACACTACGATCTTCCCGACGACATCAAGTACGACAAGATCCCGGAGGTGTGGCAGGGTCACAACATCGCGGACTTCGTCGACCCGGACATCCTGAGCAGGCTGGAGGAGCTGGAGAAGGAAGAAGAAATGCGCGAGAAGGCCGGCGTCTACGACAGCGACGAGGAAACCGACTCCGACTACGAGGAGGTCCATGAGCTGGCCACGAAGATTCGCAACAAGAAGAAGATCATGAAGATCGACAGCAAACTGCGGAAGAACAAGACGACGGCGACGATGCCCCGTACTGGCCGCGCGTTCAAGCGTGAGCGGAGCGTGAGTCGACTGCGGGACGACATGGAGCAGCTCGGCGTCGACATGTCGGACGTGGATGGCACCCACTTCGTGGCCACGGCCGAGGCCGACCGGTCTCGCTCGCTGTCGAGGCCGCGCGTCAAGAAGGCGCGCGCCGACTCTGAGGGCCGCGTCCGCTCGTCGTCCAAGACTCCGCGCGACGAGGTGGGTGTCACTGAGGAGACGCGCCTCAAGATGCGCAAGATCGGCCGCAACGCGCAGAAGAAGCTGGCTCGGGAGGCCAAGAAGGGCGAGGCCGATCGCGTCATCCTGGACATGAAGCCTAAGCACCTGTTCGTTGGCAAGCGCGGCGTCGGTAAGACGACTCGGCGCTAATCTGTCTGTGTAGAGGAGGTGCTGGAGACCGGCATGAGTGACTGGTGTGAGTGGTGTGTGAGGCGCTCCGTATGACCAGGCTGGATGGTGAGTGACGTCTGCGGAGATCTGGGAGCGAGACAACCAGTCTGGCTGGTAAGCTGTGATTGTCCGTGTGTAGAAAACAGGTCAGCAACGTGTAAATGAGAGCGAGTTTGCGGACCTTTTCCTGTTTTCAGAATATGGGAGACGAAGTACTGATTCAATGTGTAGAAGTTTGTGAATGGTTCGTTTGGGAGTCTGCAACTGAAGTAACTGATGGTACCTACCGTTGTGGATTGTTGTCAGTTGTTCTCTACGATGGAGTCCGTTTGCATATATGGAATGTAATCGCACTATTTTCGATAAGCGTTGTTTGGCTTTAGGCTGATCAGCCGGGGATTACCAGGGAGCGGAGTCCTGATGTATTGCCTTCTGTGCTACGACAGTGTTGGTTTCAGAGTGGATATCTTTGAAATAAACGGCGGCATCCGTAGGGGGCGCCATAGTCGATCGAAGTGTGCGAGGCGGTGCTGTGGTGTTCGGAGAAAGGATGCAGCGAACGACCGACAGCGAACTCTGAGGTTCCGCCGCTGGAGAACTGGGATACACGCTCACTTCATCGGTTTTTCGCTTTTTCGTACCTACCAAACTATACAGTATCTTGCCCCCCTCTAACGGTACTTAAGCCCCATCCAGTCCCATTCTAATGCCTTTAAAAAACTGGCCTTGGAGATGCATGAAGTCGGGATGCATGCTAAAAATGTTACCCATGCCCTCGAGTCCCAATTAATATTACGGAAATCAGAAGGCTTGGTGAGGCTCCGTGAGGGTTTAGGTCACCGTGCTAGTCGCCGCCGTTTTTGGCATGCCTTATCATATATATTTTCATCAGTGAGAATTTCAGGTCACGCAAGTGACCTCACCTCAGATCTATGGTATCCAGGAGTATAGTCTCGGATCAACCGGTGACCTCTTGGGAGCGGTGGGGAGGGGGGCATTCCCCCTCGTATCTCCGAAACAACTGGACAGATCCATAAAATTCAACTGGCGTTCGATGGCCCTGTGAAATTTGTCGAAAGAATACCAATTTCATTGACCTCAGGGTCGCCGATGATGTCGCAGGTCAGGTCAAAGATAAAATGTTTCATCGTTCACGGGTCTTTTAGGGAATGCGCTATAACATCGAGTATAAAACGCATTTTGTCGAAAATCAGCGATAGGGCGTCAGTTGCCTAGTACATTAGTTACTCTAAGAGATCACTGATAATGCCAGGTCAGGTCACCAAGGTCAGGCACATGAACCCAACTTTACCTGGGTTGTGCGATGCATGTTTATGGTCAATTTTTCATTTCCAACTGAATGGTGTTGGTTAAAACATGGGCTAAAATACCATGAAGTACGGTTTAGGTCACTTTCTGGTGAAGGTCAGGTCAAGGTCAGGTCAAATAAGGTAAAATTTCAAAGCTGATATTTTTGCGTAAAATGGGTATCGATTCGATGCATCTCGTCACGGGGAGTTTAGCGGTGGTCTTTGTTTTGGGGTACGTGATCTAAAATTGCTACAAATTGAGTTGAAAATTTGACGTCATCATTTTGGAACAGTTTTTTTCGCTATAACTTTGCAAAAAAAGAGGTACCTAGGTATCGATCTGAAATTTGGCATGTGGATAGAAGACGTGGTGGTTACTATCATATATATGTTACAGGGAGTTTGAGAAATCCGTGAGTTTGCAAACTCCCTAGGGAGTTTGCAAACTCCCTGACCCATCAGTGAGTTTGAGAAATTCCAGAGCGGTTGGGACAAATGAAAACAAGTGTGTAGCATGTGGGTGGCATACGTGCCGTCCATGATGTTAAAACAAAGGCGGCTAGTTGTAGGGCCTATTTAACCGTCGCACGCTGACAAAAAGCTTTCAGATCATATGCCCACCGTACAGTAGGTCTACTAAAAAAGTCCCCCGCTCCAGAGGCGGCCGGCCGGCCGAACCCCCGGATTCCAGCCCCGACTCTATTGCGCAGGCCGCGGCAGTGACACGGGTCAGGTCGCGGCGCCCGGCGAGTGGGTCAGTTGGCGGCGGCCGGCCGTGGAGTGAGGACGCCGTGTGTGGGGCGCAGAGATGCCGCAGTGCAGAGGAGGGGAAGATAGTGACTATGCACGATGCCGGAAATGATGGCTTTGTGATGTAAATTAAACACCTGCACTGCAGTGCATATCCTCCCTTGCCCCATTCCTATTATATCATAATCCTTCAATAATCCGTAATAACCATTCAACGCAAGCAAGCAAACAAAACAACCCGTTTAGCGGCGACATCATCTCGGATAAAAAAGCGACAGTGATGATTAGAATTGACTTAGCGCGAGGGCAAATCGAGGGGTATATATGTATCATATGCCGAGTATTTTATTCCCATCTAGCAAATTAAGATTGGGGATCTTGTCCAACAAGTCAGCGGTCGTTCTAGACACAGATAGATGCTTTGTTTTCGGTCGCATCATTATCTGCAATACCTAATTCGAAGCGAGGTTTAACCCTCGCCGGCCGAGAAGAACGGGTGGATGCTGCCACCATGTTTTTTTTTTTTTGCGGTAGCTCAAAGCACACTGATGATAGAAGGCTGACATTTCATATGCTTTACATTTGATTCAAGCCGGATCATTTGAAATCAACCACGTTTTCATGTCAGGTCACTTAACTATGACGTCAACCTCTGACGTAAACCTCTGCAGACTGCACGGCTGTCGGTTATAAAATGATGCAAATCCGTAATGCACTTATGTGTCATATAAGCATAATGGGAAAATATGGAAACTGTTAATTTGGCGTCGGAAATGACCTAAAACTATACCTCAAGCACATGAAATCGTGACTTCATACATTCTTGGCAAGGTTTAATGCTTCACTTTTGCATTGTTCACCTTGCGTGACGGAGTGCTCGTCAATAGGAGTGCTTCGTCAATAACTCCCGATCAAAATGAGCTAGCCAGTCGGGACAGCCATCGATGGACTCTGCAAGACTTGCCGAATCAAATGTGTAACATGTCCTCCTTTCAACAGCTTCGTGACCTGTGTTGCCCTAACATGACATTGACCTAAAGGTGTTGTTTTTATCCGCTGGGACTGAGAGCGTGAGATGGGAGTACGAAAAACATAATCTCACATTGACCTAAACATCCTAAATTGTTTCACCTAAGCAAAAAAGCATATAAATCGACGCGTCTGAGAACAGAAAACACGATTGTATCGAAATGACGATAATGCGACCATTTTTTGCGAAGTTATTCACCAAAAACCGATCCAATGCCTTGGGGCCCTTGACCTGCCCTAAGAGGTCACTGATATTTTAAAATGGGATAACAGTCGCTGCGTCACGTAACGACGCAAGCGCTCGTTTTTTTCCGCGAGGCTCTAGCAGTTAGCTCAATTATAGGAGCTAAACATGGGGTTGGGGAATTGCTCCCTTTTCACTCACTATTTGGCCGGGATAGTGTTTGCAATTATTGTTAAAATCTAACATTTTAAGATTTCAAATGACCCATTTTTTCCCGCCCAAGTCTTTCAATTCAAGGTCATAACACCAGGTCACGTCAAGTGACCTTACCTCAAGGAAAGTTCCTGTGCTCTCATATCTAAATACATCGACTAACCGATCGCTTTAGAACCTTCAGCGATTTCAATGGGCAGCAGTATATGTATTTGAAACGTTTACTTTGCAAGTTTGACATTGCTGACAGAAAGGTCGGGCATAGGCGGCGGAACGATTTGAGACAATTGGGGGGGGGCACCAGCTCAAGGAGCCAAACCTAGGGTACCCCAAATCCTGTTTTCTCATCGGATTTAGGCCACTTATTTTTCGTCACAGCCCTGACACGATTATTTTTTTATTTTTTATTTTTTTTTTTTACTCAACGAAAATGGCAGTTCACCCCCGTATACGTGGTTAACTACCTACCTATGTGTTTGACTCTTCCTTATTGTCGTTGGATAAATTCCATCTATCCTACACGTATCAAATTCCCAAGAAGCCATCGCGGTACTAATCAGTGGCGAATCCCAGGGGGGAGGTCGTCATGACTTAGGGCCTGGGGTCACCACATGCCTGCCAGGAGCACCACAGGCCTGACAGCCGACAGGGGCACCACAGGCCCGCCAGGGGTACCACAGGCCTAGCAGGGGCACCACGGGCCTGTCAGTGGCACCACAGGCCTGTCAGGAGCACCATCGGCCCGACGGCCTAGCAAAAGAACTTCAGGTCTTCCAGAGGCACCACAGACCTGCCAGGGGTACCAGAGGCCTGCCAGGGGCACTATCGGCTTCGCGTGGGAACCACCGGCCTCGCAAGGGCACCATGGGCCTGTCAAGGGCACCACAAGCCTGTCGTTGGCACTTTAGGATTGTCAGGGGCACCACAAACCTGTCAAGGGCACCTGCGTTCTAATAGGGGAATCACAGGCTCGCCAGGGGCACCACAGACCTGCCAAGGCCCAGGGATATCACAGGCCTAGCAAGGACACCACAGGCCTGTCAGGGGCACCACGGGCCTGTCAAGGCCCATGGGCACCTAAGTCATGTCAGGGCCCACCGTAGGCTTGTCAGGGGGCAGCGTAGGTAGGTACCACAGTCTTTCCAGGGGCACCAGCGGCCTAGCAGCGGCACCAGTCATCACATGACTAACCAAAAATAAAGAAAATAAAAAACTGAAAATAGGGCACCACCAAAATTAAGTGGCCGAAATCCGTTGAGGTTTTAAATTTTGAGTATAGGCAGGGGCACCACTTCGATTCATGACCCTCCCCTTGGAGTTTTCCCGAATCCGCCCCTGGTACAAATACATCAAATTTAAGGGGGCACCTTGCTATTGGTGCCCCCCTTGCAGAATTCAAGGGGGCCCGGTGCCCCGGTGCCCCCCCCCCCCGTTCCGCCGCCTATGAGGTCGGGTCAATTTTGAGATCGCTAAAGTCAATGGGAGAAAGTTGAAACTGCGGTATTTTTTTTTTTTTTTTTTTTGGACGGAACGCATAATAAACACTCTGAAAACATGTGGTGCCTAATGAGATACAATACTGAATGAGAAAGTTGTTTGTTTTGTTGGGAGCCATCTTTTTCGGTCTGAGGAGGCCCTTGCAGAGCTATGACATAACTATGCTCTGGTGTAGTAATTTGGTTGTGCGAGCCAGCGACAGTGATCTGCGGAAGCGTGACTGTTCCCGTGGGACGATTGCCCTGTCGGGGCGGTCCAGCCGTCTCACCAACGGTCACCCGAAGAGGATTATGTGTCCTGGAATGGAACCGACATCAACTACAGTTTGGCTGGTGGGGTGACCTCCAGTCCAGAGAGGGAAGCATGAAGACTAGAGGCGATGCGGATTGGTTTTTCCTGAGGATAGCGAGGACGGAAGGAATCTAGCACCCTTGACCCTTCCTTATACTGAATTTATCTCAGGCTGTTAAATCTCCTAAGCATTTTTTTCTCTCGACATCGTCAAGGTGTCATTAATAAGAAAATGA